AATAGTAAATTGTATTTCTCTGATTTTCTGAAAAATAATCTTTTCTCCATCTTTGTGTTCTGATTTTCTTCAAATTTGAGCGGAAAAAGTTCAAAATCAACTCAATATTGTAACAATGATTAACAATTTGTGTGAATTGACCGATTCTAGTTGTGTTGTATTCATTGCTTTTAAATATTCTTTTAGGATTTGGAATACTAATTTAGATTTAGAGTTGGTTTGTTTGGATAGTTTAAAAGCTGTTTGAATTAATTTTTCGAAAGTTAAAAGTTAGGTGAGGAATGTTATTTTTTGCCCTTTAGTTCTTTTATTATTATTATTATTGTTGTTGTTGTTATTATTATTAAATTATTATTATTATCATTATCATTATAATTATTATTATTATTATTATTATATTATTAATAGTAGTAATAATAATAAAAATCTGTGAAGATATAGAAATATGTGAACAATATGTAATATTATTACTTATGGATGTAAAATATAAATTAATTTTGTTTTAATTTTTTTTAAGGATAAGAAAATCTCAAATTAATTAAATTTTTATATGTTAATAACTTTAAGGTTTTTCAGACATTTTGATTAAAAAAGTCTTTATTAGCATTTATTTATCAAATACATCAATAACTTTTTTTTTGCAACTGTATCACTTTTATCAAAACACATAATTATTTATTTTATAAATAAATTTCAGTACTTTAAAAAATATATTTTAAAAGTTATTCTTTTTAAGTCAATTCAAACGAACTTTTAAGCTTGTAAAATTATAAAACAAGACTTGGAAATGGATCGAGGTGGACTTTCCTTTTGTTTCTTTCACTTTTCTTAGTCTAAGAGTATGAGAAAACACTTTTCCTTTTTCGCTTTCTTTCTACTTCTCTGCTCCGGTTGTTTTGCTTCCGACTTCATTTTCATGCCCCCTCCGATTAATCTGTCCACCCAATGAATAGATCCATCGGCCTATTTGGGCTTTCCTACTGACTATAGTCCAGCCCAATAAATAGATAGATCCACGTGTCTTATTGTATGGCACCCGGCCCAAATAGAAGGGAATTAAATTGCAGAATAACCTAGTAAATATGAAAGTGATATATTGTATCAGTTTTTTAAAACACTCTTCAGGGACTTGTCTTAGGGCTCGGCTTGGGGTAAGGCTCTAGCAAAATGCCTCGAGACTCAAGTGTGGGACTTAGTACTACAATACTTACGCCCTAAGCGCCGATTGTACGTCCTATGCATGCCCAATGCCCAACGCTTGGGACTCGCTTAACTGATCTTATACAAAATTGTGTTAAAATCTTTAATTAATATTGTTGATCCTCATAATTCTTGAATAAATGAATGATATGCAACCTTTTAATTTATAAAGATAACAAGATTGAGAGTAACTCAAACAACAAATGCAGTATCACAAATTTACTATTTGGTAACACTATGAAGGCAATTATATATTACGTAACATTTCTCTTTAAATATATGTAGCGAAATTTACTTTTTCACTTATCATTGGTCTTGGTTTTGTCATATGTCTCAAAATTATCATATTTTATTTAACTATTAAAAGGTAATTTTATTTTTATTCATGAAAGTGTGATGTTTATCCTGTAGTACTTGTAAGCTTATTGATTATTTTCTTTTAGGGTTGGAGAGGGAGGGGTAAATGATCGATTTTTTTGTTATTAAAAAGTTAAGATATTAGATTTTTTATATTTATTAGTCATGTTTTATTATTATTGGTGTAATTATTTATGTAATGATGTTTCTCAAATAGTAGTTCTAATACTTTTTTCTTATTATAGATTATCAACACTTATCCCAAATAAAAATCATAATATAATTTCTATATATTATAATTTTTTCATAAAAAATTATTTATAAAATTATTGAAAGAAAGTTGATTAATAATAGAACTATAAAGTTTAATATACATGAGACTATAAATGTCTCGCCTCACAACCCTACCTTTTAAAACACTGTATTATAACTATAGTACCCCTATTGTAATGAAATCTTACTTCACAATACCTCATGTGGTGGGATGAGAGGGAGTCTGAAGGAAAAGAACATCACAAATTGTATAACTTATCAATTTTACCAAATGAGCAAATATAATTTATAAATAAGATATCAGAATATCTTAATACGCTGATTAAATTAATTTATAAATAAACTTTTTTCATTACAAATTTCCAAATACATGTAATAATATTAATAGAGATTCATTAGTCTACCATAGTAATAACTAAATACGTATTTAATATAATTATTTTATATGATATTGCAATAATCTCTTCGTGTTGTTTTATGAATATTTTTTGCAAAATTAAAATATAATTTCTAGTTACATATACAACTGTTAAATTAAATAAATAATAATTTCAAATTAGGGCATTATAGGCGGCTCAATATTATTGCACCGGTTTGCCTGTCTGCTGTGTTTGTTTCAAAATATCACAAAATAGTCAATTGTAGGTAGAATTTGTGGTTCATACGAATTGCACTATTTTTAATATTTTAGTCTCCAAGAAAAATTAAACACATCCACTCTGCTCTTTTCGTAATAGAGACTCGTAATAAAACAATTAATTGATATTTTATTGGTATGAGAATTAATTTTGAACGTTGTAATTCTTTTTTCATTTTGTCCTTTTCCTACTCTCAATTTTATAATCTCTACGTTTTTTTAGTTTGTTTATAAAAAAAATGACATTCTCTTTTTATTTCTTAAACTTCATTTCAAGTTTATTTTTGAAACGGTGGGAGTAATTTTTTTTGAAAAAATCTTGTCAAATGGAATATATTTTAGGAAAAATGCACAACTACTCTCTATACTATGACCAAAATTCAACGTCTTAACTAAAATATGATACTATTACGCCCTGAACTTTTTTTATAATTTTATACATCTTTTGTCTTACGTGACACATTCCGTGACTCTACGCAGTTGAAGGGGTAAGAGATATTTGTATGTCACGTAAGTAAAAAAAGTACACGAAATTTTATATATATATATACACACACATATATATAATTCAGTGTTAATACAATCTTAAAATAGTTAAGGTGTATCTCTGATATTTCAATCATAATCTAAGGGATAACATTTTTCCTAAGTTTTATACAGAGATAATAAGGTAATTATAATTTTTTGCATCGAAATTATATACTTTTATTTTATCATTTAACGCTTTACTGCTAATTAAATAGTCATAAAAGCCATAAAATGTAAATTTTAATTGTTTTTTATATAAAAATAAAATAAAATTCCTCCCTAAGTAAATCCATAGTGATTGTGATTTATCAATTCTTTTTTCTTTTCCTCCCACTATTTTATTATTTTTAAATGACCATTTGTTTAAATAATTTAAAAAAATAAAAAAAATCCACTAGAAATTATACTTTTGAGCAGTTGTGGCTGTTTGGTCATTAATGTGATCGTATTATATTTTTTAGATTATTGTAAAATAAAATTGCGTATATTTAATGCAAATCGAAAATCATATAGTTATAAATATGTCATGAGCTGAAATACCTAGGGATATTTCTTTACTATTTATTTCCCAAAATATATTTACTTTGTTAGATGTAATGTGGCATGGTTGACATTGTTTCGTGTTTCATTAGTCACCAAGCAATGCAACTGATTACATGATTTATAAACATCCATATTTTCTTTGTACTTATTAGAGAATAATTTATTCATTTTTGACTTTATATTATATATTTATTATTAGAAATATATTATTCGTGAAGACGTATTTATATCTAAATCAAAATTTATTATTTGTAGTAATCATCATTTTTTCTCCTTATCAATTATTCTGTATATACTCTTACTTTTCAGCTAATAACTAAAGGATCTCTATTCGTTATAACTATGTCATGTTTAAATTTATTCGTATTATGTATTTATACTAAACTAAATGTATGATATGTTTTTGTATACATACTTGTGTTACATAATCAATGATATAAATATTTTTCACTTCCTAAATCAATGTTTAGTTAATGAATATTATAAACACTCGGTTTTGTCACAAGATTTGTTCAAAGTAATAAATTCGACTTTCCAATTTAACGATCACTTCAGTATCTCAAAAGATAATATAACCTAATTTAGCCAATACAATAATGTGGCAAAAATTAAATATTCATTGGCGTCAGTGCAATTTGGCGATGTTAAAATTACTAAAATTCACTTGTGCCCGATGTTTAAATTTACGGAATAGTTTAATTATTATATTTTAGAATTTACAATTTTGGAAAATATAAATTTAAATCTACTTAATTACGTCTTCAATTTCATATTTAATTTAATTTGATATTTTTTCATGGAATAAACATATGAAAATTCTTTCTAATAATGAATAACCGTTAATTTGATCATGACACATTCACTATATAAAAAACAATCATTAACAGTAATTAATTCTTAATTATCGTTAAATATGTATTTTTAGAGACAATTAAATACTTTTTGTATATGTTTTAAAAGTCTTTAGCAGCATTGATTCTAATTAACACCGTTAAAAACTTTAACACTCTTTATTAGTATCAATATTTATTGCCGCTAAAAATAATTTTTTTAGTGATTTATCCTCTTCAGTGAGATAATTATGCACTTTTTTTATAATTTTGCGACTGAAATAGGATTCCGTTAAAATAAAATAATATATAAATAAATTATAATTACGCACTTAACAATATCAAAATAATATAATTGAGACATTTAGTTTTGTTCCCCTAAATTGAAGATTGGGGAAGGAAAATGAAAAGAGGATTATAAGATTGCAAAATTGTGATAATCAATCAACTTACCTACCAATAATTTTCCAATGTTTGAATATGAGAATACACATCGAATAAGTTTTATGCTAAATTTAAGTTACTATGACATGGTCCCACTCTCTCTTTATTTCCACTCTATTTATACTTTGTGTGTTAGCCACTAATATTATTATCCAACTTTTCCTTCTAAAAATTTACACTCCCACCAAATGGCTATATTTTTCTTAATACTATACACTATTATTTCCTCTATTATTCTACATTTCTCTCTTAGTTTATTTTTTCGTAAACGTTACCCAGTGCCACTACCACCCGGTCCAAAACCATGGCCTATAATCGGAAACATAATCCAATTAGGTCCGAAGCCGCACCAGTCCACTGCATCAATGGCCCGAACTTACGGGCCATTGATGCACCTTCGCATGGGGTTCGTGGACGTGGTGGTTGCAGCCTCAGCTTCGGTGGCGGCTCAATTTTTGAAAAATCATGACGCTAACTTCTCGAGCCGCCCACCGAACTCTGGGGCGAAACACATGGCTTATAATTACCATGACCTTGTTTTCGCACCTTACGGACCACGGTGGCGTATGCTAAGGAAAATTTGTTCTGTTCATCTTTTTTCAACTAAAGCTTTAGATGACTTCCGCCATGTCCGACAGGTTTTTTTTTATAACTTTTTTTTTTCACTTTTGATTTTTTATAACTTAATTTAAATACTCTATTATTACTTCATATAGATAGATAAAGAAAAAGTATTCCCACCATAATTTAAAAGCCTCATGCCTTAGGCCTGCTTTTACAGGGTTTATGTTGCTTTGTGCTAAGTATCTTCGTCTATTTTTAATTATCATAATTTTCTTTTTAAGTTTAAATAATAATAATTTTGATACATATTTTATAATGTTATCATATTAATATGTAAAATAATGAAAATTATTATTCTTTTTATATAGTTTTCAAAATATTTTATTTGCTTTGTTTAAATAATCAAATTAATATAATTAAATTAAATTTTAAAAATTGATCAAATTAACTTTTGAAAAACACGACACAACGATTAAAATGGAGTATAATAGAAAGAGAAAGTCCAATGTTTCTAGCACAACTTGAAAATGATGAAAGGTTTATGAAAACTACTTTATTTTATTATCAAAACCTTCTAGACTCTTTCTTTTAGTTTATTGAAAAAATACTATTATCAGATTGGGTCCACCATAAGAGATTAGATTATATGAATCCATAAACCAATTAATTATTAATTAATTAGTACTCATCCTAAAACCCTAGTATATAAGATTAAAATCCATATGTGATTAGTATTGATTCATATTCATAATTGCAACAATAAACAATTGACCCAATAATTAATACAAATTAAATTTATTGTACATGAAGTAAGTTATATTTTTGAATGTATGCCTATAGGGATTTTCACTATTGCAATAACTATGATTTAAAAATAATTACATTATTTTAAGTCTCAATGGATAACTCTAAGGTTGTATACTTCTTTTGACTAATAATATTGAAGTATTTATATTTACTATTGTTGTATTGTGTAGAAAAGTCACTTGTAACGTCACATCACCCAAAAAACTATTAAAATTTTAAGATTAAATTGACAAGAAAAATATAGGTCATTCTCCATACTTCTCTAGAAAAAAACTAAAAGAATGACATACACTAAAGAAATGGACAAATTTTAAAAGAAAAATTTTGTTGATAGAGACAACAAAGAAATATAAATAGGGAAAATCATTACATGGAAAAAGTATTTACTCATACTTTAAAAAAAAAAAAAAACTAATAGCCTGTAAATCGTATAGAAGATGTAAATTATATTAGGTAAATTTTATGTGACAGATTTAAATAAGAAAGACAAGTGAATCGAAGAACAATGTGTAAAAAATATTCATAGGAGTATTTTATTCAATTCAATAATTAATCATACTTCTTTATTAGTGTCTTATTTCAACAGGAAATATGAATACAAGATTAAGAAGAACTATATATTTGAATAGTTTTTAAATAGTTTACATTATTATCAAAATATGTTTTTTTTAGGTCACGAGAATTATTGTACATTATATTGATTTTTTTCAATGAGCTCAAACCCCAATGTCAATGACCAGCAAAAAAGTGCAATGATTTTTCAACACTAATTAAAGCTATATATATGTAACGTCATTGATATAGATTTGAGTCCAATAATATTGGATATGTTTTTGTTGCGTAAATCTAAGTAAAACTTAAGTATTAGGGATATAAATGTAATACATTTTTTAAATAGTTTACACTATTATCCAAATAATATAATTGAGTCATTTAGTTTTGTTCCCCTAAATTGAAGATTGGGGAAGGAAAATGAAAAGAGGATTATAAGATTGCAAAATTGTGATAATCAATTAACTTACCTACCAAAAATTTATCAATGTTTGATTATGAGAATACGCATTAAATAAGTTTTACGCTAAATTTAAGTTACTATTACATGGTCCCGCTCTCTCTTTATTTCCACTCTATTTACACTTTATGCGTTAGCCACTAATATTACTAATTTATAAATTTAATTGATTTAATCTTTAAATATTATTGAAGTCATTTAATATTTAAAATTATAGATCCAATATATATATATATATATATAAGATTTAAATTTATAGCTTTATTTAAAGATGTGCACTTAATCATTATCGAATTGTATAATACTTTGAATGTAGATTCACACATATATAATTACTTTTAAAGAAATTAGAACACCATTGTACATGATTTTGAAATAAAAATATAGATTCACATGAATTCGGTGATCCCTCCAATGTACCCAACTATATTTTGTACAATATTGTTTAATGTCCTTATTTTTTTGTTAGCTTTTTATTATTACTTGATCAAAGTATTGTATGCGAATATTTACTCAATTTATTGAACTTGTCTTTATATGTAATTTTAATTGAGATATTTTCTTCATTAATACTTTTTTTTAGGGTTTAGAAGAATTATCACAAATGTTTTTTTTTTTGACAACAGAATTATCAAAAATGTTAACTTGTCATTTATTTGGCTTCTGCAGGAAGAAGTCAGAACACTTACACGCGCCTTAGCGAATGCTGGTCAAAATCCAATCAAACTAGGGCAGCTGTTGAACGTGTGCACCACGAATGCACTTGCGCGTGTGATGCTCGGGAAGCGGGTATTCGCCGACGGTACTAACGGCATGGATCCACAAGCGGAGGAGTTCAAGTTAATGGTGGTGGAGATGATGGTTCTCGCCGGCGTTTTCAACATCGGCGATTTTATTCCGGCGCTTGATTGGATGGACATTCAAGGCGTAGCTGAAAAAATGAAGAAGCTCCACGCGCGTTTCGACGCGTTCTTAACCACGATCCTCGAAGAACACAAGGAAAAGCGAGTTGGAGAATCGAAGGAACAGGGGGATTTGTTGAATACGTTGATCTCTTTGAAAAATGAAGAAGACGATAATGGCGGAAAACTTACTGATACAGAAATTAAAGCTTTACTTTTGGTACGCCTCTTACAACTATCTCTTTTATTTCAAGTAAAAATAATATCAATTTTTAGTATATTCGACAAGTAAAAGTGAACAAAATAATAAATGCGAAAAATAGTCATTTTTCATAATGTTCATAATTGTTTGGCTTGAAAGTTGAAACAGTGTTTTAATTTAAGAAGTTAATTTTAATTTGTCCTCGCATTTTAATGGCATGAGTTCTTGAAGTTTAAAGACTTATCAGTTCAAACTTCATGATTTTTTCACTTTTTTCAAAGCCTCGACTTGGACTGTTGTTATAAAGGGTTGTTGAGATGAGTGGTGCTGAAAGCCACATGTATCCTAAATCTTTGATGGAGACAGTGAACTTGTTAGATTTAGGCACCTAGAAAAAGCGAGCTTTATTAAATGGTCCAGCGGGGCCTGGATGCATTTGTTGTGCCTGCTTTTATATTTGAGTGATTTAGTATTTGTGATGGTGATCTCCATGAATACTTGTTTCCCTCATTTATTTTTTGAGCATATTTGTTGGACATTTTTCTTGCTATTTGTTAGTAATTGTAGTAGTGCTCTTGTTTTAACACTCCCGCCAATGTTTAGCATCTGGTGCGTAAGCAATTTTGATTTTGGGGACACCAACATCGAGTGATACGGACCTTGCTATGATACATGTAAAATTAGATTTTAGGCCTAACATACAATCCAAGAGGATTGTCCAAGTCTTATAAGGAGTTCACCCATCTCATTAACAGACTTTTGTCATTCTTTAACAAGTTAATATTTGATTTAATACATAAATAAGACCCTTAACTTAGTGTCAATTAACAATTATGATTCTTAAATTTAGATTTGCACCTTGCATGGAAATCTCGTGTCCTACGTGTATCATGTCATGTAAAACACATGTGTCTACTTGTTCAATTTTACAAATGTTTAAGTGTCTGCTTGTGCACATCCAAAATTAAGAGTCATAGTTACCAACTGACGAGTTAAGGGTCATATTTATATATTATGCTTTTATATTTTATTATCATCTATTGTTTCTCGTACGTCCTATACTTTTTATTTGACTGTTTTAGATTGTTTTTTCTTGAATCGAGAGTGTAAAAGAAAACAGACTATCTACCTTCTTGGTACAGAGCTAAGGTTTGTTTTGTTAATTTTTGTATAAAACTTTATTTAAAAGTGAAAAGACAATTTCAATGTCAAATATCACTGGCTTCATATTTTGGTGAATTACTACAGAACTTATTTATAGCTGGGACAGACACATCCTCTAGCACAGTAGAATGGGCCATTGCAGAGCTTATTCGTAACCCGAAAATACTGGCCCAGGCCCAACAGGAGATCGACAAAGTAGTTGGAAAGAACCGGCTCGTTATGGAATCTGACCTGGCCCAATTGACTTATTTGGAAGCCATAGTCAAGGAAATCTTTAGGCTTCATCCATCAACACCCCTCTCCCTCCCTAGAATTGCATCCGAGAGCTGTGAGATCAATGGCTACTTCATTCCAAAAGGCTCGACACTTCTCGTCAACGTTTGGGCCATTGCTCGTGATCCAAACCAATGGGCTGATCCAATAGAGTTCAGGCCCGAAAGATTCTTGCCCGGAGGTGAAAAGCCCAAAGTTGATGTAAAAGGAAATGACTTTGAAGTAATTCCGTTTGGTGCTGGTCGAAGAATATGCCCCGGAATGAGTTTGGGTATCCGCATGGTCCAGTTGATGACTGCAACTTTGATCCATTCGTTTAACTGGGCTTTGCCCACTGGACAATTGCCAGATAAGTTAAATATGGAGGAAGCATTTGGGCTGACTTTACAACGGGCTGATCCATTAGTGGTCCACCCGATCCCACGGTTAGAAGCCCAAGTATACGGTGGGTGAACAGCCGAATAAGCAGATGACACATGGCATGTGTGCTGAATGTAAAAGAAAGTCTATTTTGTATAAGCTTCTAATTTAGTAGTACTAGTTTGTATTGAAAGAGCAACGCTCATCAGAATATGTTGTTGTGTACTACTTTTTATCGTCATAGTTAATAAAGATTTTCTTTTTTCCATTGAACACAATGGTGAATTTAGTAATTGTCGCTCTGCTTTTCAATTTTCTCATGTTTGATTGGGACAAAAATTTTGAAAAAAGTTTTATAAATTAACTCATTTTCCTCAAAATTAAGGAAAATGACTTTCCTTACAAAATTAAGAAAAAACATTTTTCAAAACTCTCTTCTAGACTCTCCTCTGTTTTCAAATAACATTTTTTTAAATTATTGATGTAATGATATTTCTCAAATAGTAAGTAGAATATTTTTTTTCTTCATTATTAATACTTATCTCAAATAAAAATCATAATATAATTTCTATATATTATAGGTTATTTATAAAAAATTATTTATAAAATCATGGAAAGATTTACTTTTACTTATTTTATTAGTAATAAGATTATAAAATTGAATATATATATATATATATATATATCTTATTTTATTAGTAATAAGATTATAAAATTGAATATATATATATATATATATATATATATATATATATATATATATATATATATATAAGATTAAGTCTCACCATGTATTACAGAACGTCTCACCTCACGCTCCATCTTTAATTTTAAAACACTGATCTGGAGGATAAATAATTGAAATTGAGAGTAGAATATGATTTTTAAAAAGTAAAACATAGAAGTAATTGGCACCACCAAAATTTCTATCAATGGAAAACAATGTAATTTACAAATATCAGTTTTTTTTTTTATTACAAGTTGCTAGTGCTATAACCTTACAGTGAAAAGGAGGTGGTTTGGGAGTGGGAGTGGGCAAATGCACTAGACCCCAACCTTTTTTTTTTTTTTTTTTTGAAAAAAAGGTAATGCCACCAAAAGGGGGCCACACCATCTTATTCCTCATTATTATCACTGTATCATCTTTGTTGTATTTTTGTGTGTGAAAATCCTGTCAATTTACCCAACACAGAGAGCACTCTTTAGTACTTACTCTTTCACACTCACACAACATACAACGTACATTACTGTTTTTTTTTTTTTAATCTTCTCTCCCTCTGCACCATTCTTCATCCCAGCTTCTGTTATCCTCATCTTATCATGTCTGCTTTTGTGTTTTCGCTCCTCATTTTGGCCATGGCCGGCCACTCAAGTAAGTTTTTTTTTTTCAGCCTGTAAAGCTAATTTGTGCTTCTCTTGCTGAAAACTGCATCTGGTGTTATAATCAGTTACGGATCCATAATGTCGAAGTTAATATTTCAATGAACCCAGTAGCTTTTGCTTAGACATGTTAAATAAATTCTCTGAATATTTATATATATTAGACTGTAAACACGACTAATATTGTATATATTCACTTGAAATTGTCATGAAAACTCATAAAATTTGAATACTAGATCCGTCTCTAGACCTTGTTATTCTTTCTATGTTTGCAGAATTGTTTCGTTTTTGAGCTGCAACTTCTTACCTTCTCACTTAAAAAATATGACCTTGTTTTTTTTTTCTCCTGGAAATCATGTTTAGCCATGAGTTAAATTTGAAGTAGAATTCTGAAATTTGAACAACACACTCTTCAAATCACTTTTAGAAATTCTAAAACAATTTTAGTTGTCAAACACAATTTCGCTGGCTTGTGCATAAATTAAACTACAATAAATGAGGTCTAAATTTCATCAATGCTCACTTAAACTCACTTTTTGTTCTTATATCTCTTTGGAATTGTAGATGCTGCATGGTGCGCTTGCAAAGGATTGAGTGATGCAGTTTTGCAAAAGACACTGGACTATGCTTGTGGAGCCGGGGCGGATTGCACCCCGCTTCATACAAACGGGCCTTGCTTTAACCCGAATACCGTAAGAGCTCACTGCAATTTTGCTGTCAACAGCTATTTCCAGAGGAAGGGCCAAGCTACCGGATCATGTGATTTTTCTGGCACCGCCACTGTCACTGCTACTGACCCCAGTAAGCAACAATGCAATCCCTCTTTACAAAAAATAAATAAATAATAATCAGTGAAGTTACATTGTTTCCTACACTCTGTAGGACCTCCAGTACACAGGACTAGTACGGAGTAATAGTACCTCGCTCTCATTTTATGTGACTTAATTTTAATCTAGCATAATAATTAAGATTTTTTTTAAAAAACTTGTGATCTAAACTAATTTTTTGATATTTGTGTAGTATCTTTTAAAATTTATTGTTGACAATTTTTTTAATAGGCTAAAAAGGAAAAAATTGTAAATTGAATCCTATTATTTTGTGGTGATAAATGTTTCTCATCTTCTTTTTGGATCTTACTCTATACAGGCACAGCTGGCTGTGTTTATCCTGCTACTGCAAGGTAAGCCTTTTTTTTTCTAAAAAAGATGAACAGTTACCATTTTTGTTTTACAAGTCATCTGTAACTTTGGCCAATCCTTCTGTTTTGTCTAATTTTGTTACTGGTTGCCTGTTATTCCTTCATATTCATTTTCCTCCTATAAAGTTGGGGTAGGGGGTTGGACATGTGAAATGTGAGAGAATTATGAGATGGGTAATTGAACCTTTACTAATAAGATAAAATTTAATTTAAGCTAAATCAATGATCTATTTAATTTTTTTATGTCATTTTTAGGTATTGTCCACGTGAAAGGTAGTTATTATCTTAAAAAATAAGGCAATATTACGTAGTGATGGAGCAAAAAAAATTTTCGGATGAAATTCAAAAAATGAAAAAATTTATATCAATAAAATTCAATAAATAGTAAATAAATATTAAAATATTAACTTATCTACACACTATATAATATAATATTTACTCGTTATATAATGTGCTATAACATGTTAAAATATAAGAAACTCTCTCCACGTAAAACTCTTTTGAATGTTGAAATTTCAGAGATCTTAAAATAGCTATCAGTAGCACTTATTGCTCTCTTGACTTATTTAATGCTCAGTTATTACCTTACCAGTAGAGGGTGAAGTTGAAATCATGCTACACATGATAAAAATAATTTATATATAAATTATTGAATTTCCTTGACATATGATTTTTTTTTTTAAGTGTAGTAACATATAGTTTCTTCTATAAATTTACTTTAAGGATTCAAAAATTGTTTTTGTTCCTATGTTCAAATCTTACGTGTGATACTATAGCATATTTTGAATTATCAAGAATAGAAGCATCTTGATGATGTCTAAATTCCAATTCATTAATTTTCCTGGACTTTGTTTTCTTTTTCTCCTATTTTTATCTTTTTGTGAGTCTCGATAAAGTGCAGTATTATAAAGCATGTTTTCATCTTTCATAATTACTATAGTACATATTTTTGAATCGCTTGTATATAAGCCAAATTAATTTGCAATCACCGTCTAATTTGTTTTCTTTTTCACTTTTGATCTAATCTATATTAGCTCTTTTTGTCTTTAATCTTGAAAAGTGTATTGCATTCGCATCATCACTCTTTTGACTGATTGACAAAATTATTGCTTCTACTATTTATTGGAGCTTTCTTTTCTTTTTCACTCTTTTGCTAGCTTTTTCACAATGCTCCAATTATTGAACATCCAAATATTCACATCTTTTTGCACACGTCAGTTAAAAAAATTATGGAATACTAAGTACGCGGTTGCTCATAAATTCGAAATATATTTTTACTTTATTTGAAATTTATAAAGCTATATTTAATTACATTTTTAAAAAAAGAGAGAAAAATTAGATTTTAAAAGTTTATGAATAAACACTGATTTTGAATAATTAAATATCGTCTATGCAGTTAATATAATGAATACGTTTGGTGTGATGGACGAAAGAAACTAATCCTGCTATCTATTTTTATTTATTATTACCCCTGAGAGATAAATAACACTTGTAGTACCTGAAAAATACAAGTGGTCAAAAGTTGGTGGGGGTGGGGTTATAAATGTCATGATCAGACACTCTGGCCACTAGATAGTGTGTGGTCTTTGTCCTCATTGAAGAGTAACAAATTGATGTTTGCTGGCAAAGTAGTATTTACCAAATGAGTGATTGAAAACTGTAAAGGCCTTCTATTAGATAAGTGTGATGTTCTTCTTATTTTTTTTGCTTAATACATCGATAACCCTTGAACTTGCTAGTAAATTTCATTATACACTCTGAAGTAAGATTTACTTCAATTGAGCATCTGAATCATAATAAAGTGTTTTCATTAGATAGTTTCGATTGAAATATTGAAAATATGTTTGACGTGTATAAAGTTTTCGACTAAAGTCCCTTGCATAATGTTATAGTGATTGATTGAACTAAAGAGGTAAAATTTGCTGGCTTACTCTGCTTTAAAATCTAAACTACACATTCCATTTAGTGCATCTTTTACTTCTATTTACCTCTTGACAAGTTAGTATCTCTCTTTAGTGGCACCACTCCGACGACTACGGGCTCCACCACACAAACACCATCCACAACCACAACCAACACAGGGGGATCTCCTTATGTGACAAATCCAGGTGTATTAGGAGGCGTCAACAACGGCTTAGGCCCGTCGGGCGCTGGCATGAACACAGATATAAGCCATGGTGGGATTTTACTGCAACAAGGCAACCTGTTTTTCTCTATGACCATTACTATTATTATTTCTTCACTTGCATTATTTTGAGCTAAATAAGAGAAGAAGTTCCAGTGTTTGTGTACTATTAAGGTTAGTAGTTGGGACATGTTAAAATTGTATGAGCAGAAATGGGCATATGCCTATATATGCATGTTGATGCTATTACTATAATTGTTGGAATTTGTTTTTCCATCCCATCTATTTTGCATGTCTAAAGATAGTTTTTTGAGTTCCGTCCTTGTGTTAAATGATTATTTTTAATTTACTGAACTCACTTTGTGTAAATTTTAGTTCCCATTGAGGGGTTCTAGTCGTAGTTTTACACCTTAAGATTCTTGCGGATTTTTCAGTTAAAAAATTATGTGTTTTATTTTTTATGCTCTTTCAACACCAAGTTCGGCTACAGGTAATGGGTAAAAACACCCATTAAATCATTTTCACTATAATGTTTTTTTTTTAATCCACGACTTTAAAGTTGGAGATAGAGAGTGCTTACCATTGAAGCATTCCTAATTTAGTGTCTTTGAGTGTCTTGTGTGTAGAGCTGTCAAAATGGGCTAACCCCCTAACGAGCTAGAGAGTTAAATGGGTTGGAGCGGGCTGACCCTTTTAATTAAAGGGTCAATAAAATAGCAGTTTAATCCAACCATAAGCGGCCACAAGTTGGAACAGGTTGATCCTTCAATCAAAAAAGAAATAATATTACTCATTTAGAAAGAGTATCGAATGTTGACGTCTATAAATACGATGTCAATTCATATAAAAATTCATTTATAAATCTCGTACTTCGGTGAATACTTACAAAAATACATAATAATTAATGTAATATTTAGCGATAAGTGTTGATCATTCCACCATTTTCCCACAAAAAAACTAGTTGATTTAAAAGATTTATAGCAACATAAGGCAACCTAAATACTCAACAAATCTAAATTACTAAATATTACATGACCCATTAATTAAAGTTTTACGGCCGCGCTTCCCTTTCTTCTTCCTCTTTCACCATCGATCACATTTGAATTAACATGTGACATTGTTTCCTTAAGAAGTTCATTTTTCATTTATAATTCACCATACAAGATGATACTGCAAAAGACTTGATTTTTCTTTTTTCAAAATATTTATTGATAAAATCTTGACAAATAATACACTATTAAAAATATATATATAAATATCTTTTAAAATTAATAGCCCAAGGGCTGGCCACTAAGACTTGCGGGCTGGGCCTACGAGGCCAATGGACCAAATGGGGTGGGCTAAAACGCCTCATTTCTAAATGGGCCAAAAAAATTAAGCCTAATCCCATTTATTTCAAGGATTGGATTGGACTGGCCTCGAGGGTCAAGTCCATTTTAACGGCTCTGTGTGTAAATCAACAATACCATATTAAGAAGAAAGCATACATAATCACCACTTTCAGTTAGAAAGATTATCAATGAACAAAAAACATATTTAAACTATAGTGACATTCTACTATCCCAAGTTAGTTGAATCAAGATATATATCCAATTTTAAAAAATGTGATGATGGCACTCAGCTATTCAAGTCAGTTGAATCAAGACGCATAACGATCCAGTTTATACTAGGAAGCTGAACCAAACAAATCCAACAATTGCATAATTATTAAAGATAACATCAAAAAACATTGTGACAACAAAATAATCTCACAAGAACTGATAATGGGTTGTCATGAGCAAAACGAAAACTCTACAATTATCGAGATAAAAGTTATTCTATAGAGCATATATATATAGGATAAAAAGAGATAAAACAAATGTAAAGTCAATAATTGTAAATTATAAGCAAATTATATAAAAAGTAAATAATTAATTGTAATTTGTTATCTAGGGTATACAATCAAAATAGTCAAAGGCAAACATGCAAACACTGTTTTGTGATTTGACTAGGTTGATATATATATAATTTAAGCACCTAAATGACTTTTATATAACAATAATTTGACTTTTAACGTACATAGCAATATGGACTACATACTATAGCTTGCCGAGTTATAAGAACTATATATGGACTACATACTATAGCTTGTCAAAAATTATAGAAAAAATATATCGACTATGCAATATATCTTATCTATAAACAAAATACACACTAGAAATTGCCGAAACAAGTATATATTAATTATTCAATATCGATTATTATAAAATTATCTATAAACATTATTAATTCAACTATGAAATAATTTTAATATTTTAAATCTTTACATATATAATTCACTTGAAATGATTTTTATTTTTTTCTCAAAAGAGAAGAAAACAACAAGCAGCAAGAAGACGAAAACACGCCAAATTTTGTAAAATAAAAGTACCTGTTATAAATAATTTGTATTATACTGAATGTCTAATTATATGGAGTATAAAAATTTTCTTTCGTTATAAATAAGATTTATGAAAAATCTCTGAATAAATAAGACCTTTCTACTTTATTCTTTTTCTAAATTTATATCGTTTGATAACAGTACCATTAATATTAGTTTTTTTTTTTTTTGTAATATAAATGACTTACATTTGCAAGTTATTATTTTTTGGTTAAAAAAGTTAACCTAATGAACATTCGATTTAATTCGGCCTCCTTTATTAATTTTTATAAAAACCTTTTCGGATCTTTTTTTTTGGTCGGCGTGCCGCCGTGGAGTTCTCACCGTCCGATGCAAAAGGAATTACGTATACACAGCATTCATCAGGCTCACATGGTATAACTATTTGTTTATTTTTTCCCGTTGCTAATTCTTATGTGATTCTTTCTTTTTTATTTATAAATTCATGGCGAAGACTGAATTCTTGTTAGGATGATGATTAGCGTGGCGATTAAGCGTTTTTTAGTAATTTTTCTGAAAGATGTGTTTCATTTAACGGATGAAATTTCGGATTTCTGATTCTCGGATGTTTTTGAAATGGGAAATGAGCAAATGGAAAATAAAAAAGATTTCCTGTGTATATAGTTTGTATAGTGTCTGAAAATGTCTGAAAGTATTGTTAGTTTTTAATTTTTTTTTGGTGTGTGTGTTGGGGGGTGGGGGTTATGACTTGAAAAGTCAATTTGCTAGAGTGTGTATGTGTATATAGTTTGTATAGTGTCTGAAAATGTCTGAAAGTATTGTTAGTTTTTAATTTTTTTTTGGTGTGTGTGTTGGGGGGTGGGGGTTATGACTTGAAAAGTCAATTTGCTAGAGTGTGTATGTGTATATAATTTAGATATATACGGCACGATGAAATCGTTGGCTTAATTGGTAGAGTTGTTGTCACGTGACACAGAGGTTACGGGTTCGAGTGGTGGAAAGAACTTCTTATAGCCCATAGGACTCTATGCATACAGAAACTTATCGCACTCGGCTGTGCTTTGTCCAAGGAATTTCATTATCTTATAAAACAGTGAGCAATTCATTAAGTAGAAAATTAAGATATAAAATCGATAACGTCATAAAAAAGCCATGGAAGGCTACATTAGAAATTTTACCAAATCAAACATGACATGAGTATAGTGTTTGTACAACTTCTAAGTTACACATGAGTCTAGGCCTTGATTATACCCAAAAATATACAAAATGTCACTTCATAAGCAAATGCACCTTAATGATAAATAGGGTTCACCACAAACCAACAGAACGATTGGAATGCCTAGCAAGGATCAGTGTCATCCTAAGTATCCATACGTGCATTATAAAAAGATGCAGTTCTTGGACAAAAGAGAAGTGATACATGTGAAATAGTACTTACATGATGAGGTGAACTATTTGGTACCTTTGACCAGCTCGCTAAATGATTTGCTATGGTTAGCAGTCTTTGATGGTTAAAATATTTATCTTTCAAAAGTTGTTACATTATCAGATGTAAGAGATGACATGTCACACATACTGTGAGTAGGCAGTATTAACTTCTAAAGTTCTCAACTCTCAAGTAAGTTTCTCTAGTATGTTTTCCTTCTATAATAAGCGTGAATTCAGTACAAGTGCTATAATAATATCTTGTACATCATTAAGGGACAAATTAAGAGTAAACCTTGATTTTCTCAACATATTGTTCTTTTCCTTCATCAACAATATGGTACTAAAGTTCAGGATTTGATTTGTCAAACAATCTATCAACTATAGTGATCTATGATGTAAATCATTGTCCCATAACTATTAGCAACTTCAATTATTCTCCATTAGGCAATAGTAATCAATACACTGTTGTTTGTTTGGTGCTTTTTCCTAATTATTTTGAGTGTAGTTCAATTGTCACAAGTCCTACAATCGGTTGTCTTTGTTGTTCTGAAAACCCCCCTTTTCTTGTCCAAAAGAAGATGTAGGGGAGAATGTTAGCCCCGCCATTAGTTTTCTACCGATGTTCGGGTTTTTTGAAGACAAATTTGTTGTGCACAATGGTTACCTACATAGAATAAGTATACAGATAAAGGGTATTCTGACAAAAGAGAAGCAGATCGAATATCTTATTATGTATTTACAATGGCAGGAGGAAAATTAGCATTGTACCCTGGCTTTTACTATCCATTACCTCCTTAAGGGTTTCTTAAGGAGGAGTACTGGAGTATTTCTGTCTAGATGAGATGTAACCAAAAAACATTCTAGGAAATAATTTATTTGGATAACACATGGAATGCAATCAATGCATTTGATATGCGTCTGCTGCAAAATGGGGATTTGTTTCATATAAAATCATGTGAGCTTAATAAAGATTGCTGGTTATAATATACCTTTGTGTAATAAATGACATATTGGAACTGATTTTTACACTGTTATTAGTGCAAAAATAATGACATGCCCCAGTATGTTCTGTCTCTCTCTCTCTATTTTAACATGAAAGTGCAGTTAGGCGAGCTGAAAGTCATGAATCTCTGGTCCATACTTGCTTCATCACCTAGTGTCATATCTATATGTTCTTTTAAGCCTCAAACATTGTCCCAATCAGAAATCCCTTCTTTTTTGGTTGACTTGCCATTTCTAAGGGATAAGTTGATCTTTTAACACAAGGGGATGCTCCTCTTTAAGAAAATTACTAGTTAGATTATCAGCTATGCTTCCCTTTTATGGAATGTTAAGTAGGGATGAGAAGTGGAATAGAACTTTAAAAGCCTAAATGGAAGTGATGTTAACTCTTAGGGAGAATAAGGACCTCTTCAAGTTTTCTAATCTAGCTGGCATTCTTGACTATCGTATCCTAATGGTATTGGATATCGGGTTCCACCTAAATGATACATTGCTTCTTTCATTAGCTTGTTCTGGCATTTAATTTTCTTAGATAGTACCTGTATACATAGTCCTAAATTCTGCTTGTCTCTTCCTTTCAGATATTGTGTGCTGTGCGATTGTGAGGATGCACTATTGGATTGGTGGTTTTAAAATTGTGATATTGGCAATGGGGTAAGTATTCATTTAGAAAATGAGGCTCACGAGGGATACAAGTTACATGCCTCAGCAAAGATATACTGTGCAACCAAAGAAACATAGCAAGTTTATCTACTTTTGCTTGACCCAAAATAGCCCAATGTTTTTTCACCTCCTACGTGTCTTTTCTACCCCATTTTCTTCAAACCCATTTTTTTGCCTACTTTTGAAGTTCATAGAATTTGAAGCTTCAGTAGATATGTCTGATGTGTAGTTAAACAGTTATGCAGTTTCTTTTATATTTGCTTGATTGTGTTTATGTATCTAATTAGTCAATTCTTATGGGCAGCTGCGGACATTTTTCTGTGGATGGACAAGAAAACTAATGCAGTGTGCTTGGGTTTGCCACTTCACTTTGGGTGCTTTCTTAGTTGCTTCAGAACCATTTGCTTACACTTGTTTGCCATATACTGATCCTTTAGTCCTTTCCCTTTGGTCTAATGCATCCACCTTCATCAACAGGTAAGTATACTCTTTAACTTCCTTATTAATTTGTCTACCTTAGGATAAACCTTGAAATATATGCACCAGATCTCCACCCGAAATTCCAGATGTCATTCTGCCTGAATACATTGTCCTGGGTGTTGCTGCTGCACTCAGGACTGAAATAAACAAAGCTCTTGAAAATAATTTCTATTGCTGCTACACTCAGTCCTGTTGCTGCTGCACTCAGGACTGTATGTTATCATGTCTTTCTTGTTGATATTATCTTCCGAAATAATTCCTGCTACGCCATACATATCTGTAAAGCTTTCATCGCTAAATTTATTTATTTTTACTTCCATCCAATTAATGTAGTCTATTTTTTTGTCGGGTGGTTCTACCATTCTAGAGCGTAGGAGTGTATGTTATCATGTCTTTCTTAGATGCTTTGGAGCTCACGTTTGGGATATTCAATAATTGTATTCGGGTTCATCTTCCTTCTAGATTTAGATGTAAGGTATAGGAGTTTTAGAGGCTTTTACCTAATGCTCTTGAATATGAACTAGTTTAGCGTGAGGTTATTTGGGCAAAGTCTATTCAACAATCGTTGTTCGGATACATAAGCCATGATTGTATTTCCTTGCAAGTGAGAGGGAAAGGTCAGTATCTGCCTTATATATCTATCCGTAAATAGACAAGGGTTTCAAAGTCTTGCCTAGAATATTTTTAATAGAAATTGATTTGCTTTTACTATTTTATGTGGGTTTGAAATATATATTTTTCTAGTGAAGTTTATGTGTATCAAAGATTTCGTGATGAGAATGTTTATAAATGACGTTGAGCTGCTTATACTTTTCATCTTATTCTTGTATCAAGGTTGTGAATGCAAGTATAAGCAGTTTAACATCATTTATAAGTGTTTTCATCACCAAATCTTTGTTACGCATGAACTTTACTAGTGTAGTATATATCTCAAAGCCTACATATAATGGAAAATGCAAATCAATTTCTATTAAAAACATTTTGGGCAAGGGTGCACTTCAACTTTGCAGCCCTTACCTCTTTACGGATGAATATTTAAGGTAGAAGCGAACTTTCTCTCCTTGTTCCAATGAAATACAATCCTATATCTTCTTTATCCGAACAATGGTTGTTAAATAGACTAGCCCAAATATCCCCCACGCGGAACTAGTTCAAATTTAAGAGTATGAGGCAATATCCCTAAGAACTCATACACCTTATGTCTTACTCTATAAAGAGAATGGGCGTGGATAAAATTATTAAGCATCCTAAGTGCAAACATTAGAACATTTGATGTGTCAAAACTTCCTCTTAAATACAAAGGGAAAACTATTATCTATAGAAAAGAGAATGCTGCCCGTTACTCAAATTAAAGTAAGATCATCAATATATATGTAGTTTGTAGAATAATAAAAGGTCTTACTCCAATACCATTACCACTAGGCCATATTCTCGGGGAACAACATTATGTTGTTAAACAAAAAAGTATTATAAATTTATTTGTACTTATCAGTAGGGAAATTACAAAGAAGAGCAAGTTAATCATTTAGCTGACCACTAGCAAAGATGAGCTGAATATTAATTAGTAATAAATGTACATGATGAAGTGTATAGCTTACTTGTAGGAATGAGCAAGTGTTGGATCACAAGGGTGTCGTAAGTGGGTTCATCATTCCACTCGGGTTTATCATTTCACTCTATATCATAGTATTATGGACTATTTTCTGTTTTCAGTTATGGGAAACAAGAAATTATGGGTAAGTCGGTTATATGGGAGCCATACATTATTTATTTTCTAAAAATTTCAGTTAAGTAACTTAATGAGATGTAGAGTAGTTGAAGATGTATGTTTTACTTGAATTTGCACCACTCAACAGCCTTACAAGTTCTTTCCTATGCAATTATTAGTCTTTCTCTTTTTTGCATTTTAGGGGAAGTTTTGAGATCCTAGATGTTTTCGAACTTGCACATCAGATTTTCAATAATCGTATCTAGGTTCATCCTCCTTCTAGCGTTAGATGTAAGATGTAGAAATTTTTAGGAATTTTGCCTAATACTATTGAGTATGAAGTAGTTTCGCATAAGGTTATTTGGGCAAAATTTATTCAACAATCATTGTCTGGATAAAGAAGACATAAAACTATATTTTCTTGCAAGTGAGAGAGAAAGATTAGCTTCTACCTTATATATCTATTCGAAAATGGATAGAGTTGCAAAGTATAACTGCACCCTTGCCCAGGAATATTTTTAGTAGAAATTGATTTGCATTTCTCATTTTATGTAGGTAGGTCTAAGATATATATATTGCTCTAGTGAAATTTATGTGTATCAAATATTTGGTGATGAAAATGCTTGTAAATGATGTTGAACTGCTTATACTTCCATCCAGTTCCTGTATTAGGGTTGTGGATGCAAGTATAAACAACTCAACATCATTTATAAGCATTCTCATCACCAAATCTTTGCTACACATGAATTTCACAAAAACAATATATATCTCAGTCCTACATATAATGGAAAATGCAAATCAATTTCTAGTAAAAACATTCTTGGGCAAAGACACACTTCTACTTTGCAAACCTTACCCCTTTACAGATGGATAATTTAAGTAGAAGCTAACATATATCTCCCACTTGCAAAGAAATATTGTCCTATATCTTCTTGAACCAAACGATGATTGTTGAATACATCTTACCTTTAATTCAAGAAGGAGGATGGGCGTGGATACAATTATTGAGCATCCTAAGTGCAAATTCCAGAGCACCTGAAATGTCAAAACTTCCGTGAAAATACAAAGAGAAAGACTTGTTAATTATAGAGAAGAGAACTTGTATTCTTGTTTAATGATGAAAGTCCCTCAAATTAAAGTAAGATTATCAATATATATGTAGTTTGTAGAATAATCAAAGGTGTTACTCCTATATCTTAACCACTAGCCATCTCCTTTGGGACCAACATTATGCTGATAACCAAAAGTATTATAAATTTATTCCTACTTATCAATAGGAAGATTACAAAGAAGATGAGCATTTCTCAATCAAGTTTGTTGAGAAAGCTGGGTTTAGCATGGCTGAGTTAAATATCCTTAATGCTGAATACAACATTTACCAGTTCTCAAAAAAAAAGAAGAGATGGAGCATTTCTCAATCAAGTAAATTTACGTGAAGCTCCGTCAGAAGATTTGTGTGTAACAACTTGGGATCACCTAGATGTATCTTTATCTCGAGACGAGACTAGGGACAGAATGCCGAAATGGGGAATGGTTGTGGATCCTAGCTGTCCTTTCAGAACTCTCCATCTTTTTTTTTGCTTGTACAGTTTCTGCTCATATCCAAGAAGTTCATGCTAGAGGTAGAAGACATGCTAATTGGTTAGAGACTCGCAATTTCTGTGTATGTGTTGTACTCTCTGAGGTAGTTACCTCTGATGCAAAGGGCTCACTGACCATACTTCAGTTTTTTTATTCTTTTCCTGTACTCCAATGTTCATTGGGGTTAGTAAAATTGTTTATTTATAGGGAAAAAAAGGTTCACAAAGGATTCAAAAATGCTTAAGATACATTCAAATTTTTTGTGTAACACTATAGCATACTAATTTGAATTCTCTCGTATGAATTTTCATAGTCTGTTTTCTTTTTTCCTATTTTTCTCTTTTGTGCGTCTCGATAAAGTGCAACATTATAAAACATGTTTTCATTCAAATCTTATGTGTGACACTATAGCATTCTAATTTGTTTTCTTTTTTCACTTTTGATCTAATCTAAATTAGCTCTTTTTGTCTTCAATCTTGGAAAGTGTATTGCATTAGCATCATCACGCTTTGATTGATTGACAAACTTATTGCTTCAAGTGTTTATTGGGGATTTTCTTTTTCACTATTTTGCTAGCTTTTTGATAATGCAGCAATTATTGAACATCCAAATATTCACATCTTTTTCGCACACGGCAGTAAAAAAATCAAATATTTTGGAATACTAAAGTAGGTATTTGGTCATTGATTTGAAATATATTTTTACTTTATTTGAAATTTAAGAAGTTAAGTTTAGTTATATTTTTAACAAAAGAGAGAAAAAAGTCAGATTTTGAAAGTTTATAACTAATAACACTGATTTTGAATAAAATGAATATTTTCATGATCAAACAACTCCAGAGTTAATATATATCGGATATGTTTGGTGTGTGATTGATGAAAGAAACGAATCCTGGTATATTTTTAGTATCCCTTTAAAGGTAAATAGCACTTGTAGTACCTGAAAAATCCCTTAGTTGTTGGGACTTGTGTTTAAATTGTACGAGCAGAAATGGGCATATGCCTATATATGCCTGTGATGGTATTACTATAATTGTTTCCATCTATTTTTATGTCTAAAGATAGTTTTTTAGTCCAGTCCTTGTAAACTCACTGTGTAAATTTTAGTTCTCATTGAGGGGTTTAGGTTGTCGTTTTTACACCTTTAAATCCTTGTGGATTTTTCAGTTAAAAAAATTATGTGTTTTGCTTTTTATGCTCTTTGAACACTAAGTTTGCTCCAGGTGATCGGTGAAAACAACCACCAAATCATTTTCATCATTCAATGTCTTTTGAATTCACAACTTCAAAGTTGGAGACGGAGAATGCGTACCATTCAAGCAACTCCTCATCTCGTGCCTACGAGTGTGTTGTGTGTAAAACAACAATACCATACTAAGAAGGAAGCATATATAATGACTACTTCCAGTTAGATTATGAATGAACATGTTTAAATTATGATGGCATCCAACTATCCCAAGTTAGTTGAATCAAGACGTATATACAATTTTTTTTAAATGTGACGACACTCAGCTATCTAAGTCAGTTAAGCCAAGACGCATGCTGACCCAATTTATACTAGGAAGCTAAAACATACAAATCCAATAGTTGAGTTTGTAATAAAGATAAAGTCGAATAGCAATGTGAAAGCAAAATAATCTCCCAAAAACTGGTAATAGATTGTTATAAGGAAAACTAAAAAGGAACAGTACAAATACGTCAAGTACTACAGATAAAAACAATAAGCTAGAAAGGTACAAATAGGTAGCAACAGTAACGGTTTCTGTTGAATATCTAAATCAAAGTTATTGATGAAACTAGTTGTTGAGACCACAGTGTCCAACATTCACACATTTTCTCCAGCTATCATGTCTATCTCCATATCAATCACTTCGTCGCTGCCCCCTTCGGCACATCCATCTGTGTTTTGTCCGATGCGGTAAAATAATCCCCACAGAAAGTACTCGTTGTTCCATTCTGCAAGAATATCTCAAGGTGAAAGATAACTCTACAATATTTATCTCCTAGAGAGCATAATCATATAAACATAACCTAAAGTTTCAATAAATAAGAAAACAATGTAGAGATTAACTATAGTCGTACTTTGACAATCATTGTGCAGGGTTGTGGATGCAAGTACAAGCAACTCAACATCATTTATCATCATTCTCATCACATAGTCTCTATTACGTATGAACTCCACCAGAGAGGTATATATCCCAGACCTACGTATAATAGGAAATTCAATTCAGACTCTAGTAAAAATATTCTTTGGCAAGGGTGCACTTCTACTTTGCAACCCTTACCCCTTTACAACTAGTTGGTTAAAGCAAAAACTAACCTTTCTCTCTCACTTGAAAGGAAATATAGTCCTATGTCTTCTTTACCTGGACAATAATTATTGAATAGCTTTGTCCAAATGTCCTCGCGCGGAACAAGTTCAAATTTTAGTGTATGAGGCAATAGCGCTAATAAATCATACACCTTACGTTTGACTCTAGAAGGAGAATGAGCTTGGATGAAATCATTGAGGTCACTTTGAACAAATTCTGAAGCACTTGAGATTTCAAAACTTCCCCTGAAATACAAAAAGAAAGAGAAAGACTATTAATTAAAAAAAAAAAAAAAGAGAACATGTTTTCTGATTGAATGCTCCCCACTTACTGAAATAACTGAACATCATATATATCCATACTTATCAATAGGGAACTTAAAAAAAGAGAAAGAAAGAGAGAGAGAGAGAGTTTGATTAGGTTACTGTCAGCAATGATGGGTCATCCAAAAACAAAGATGAATTGAATTTCAGTTAGTAATAAATGTACATGATGAAGGGTACTTACTTCCAGGAATGAGCTAGAGCAGGATCACAAGGGTGTGTCATAGGTGGATTCATCATTCCACTCGTTTTCACAGCATTGAAAGTCTTATGCTCTAGAATGGTAACTCTCTCAGGACCTAACAAGCAGGCTACATCAACTAGATGAAAGTATAATAGCATATGATAGAAAATGAAACTTCTAATGAATATAGACAAAGAAAAAGAATATATTTGAATAAGTAATGAATACAAGAAATGTTAGTGAATTAACCTTTAGATGATTCAATTTGTTTTATGCTTGGTTCTATTTCTTTGAAATTTAGATAACTGTGAGGTTTCTTATATCCTGTTGACCCTAAAGAATACTGCAGTGTTCTCTTCTTAGGAAAAATATCTAAAATCTGAGTTCTAGGTTTGCTTGAATTCCCTCGAGTTTCAGTAGTCTTGGATTTAGTTGACATAACTCTTGAAGAGACGGAATTCAATAGGCCAATTGCTTCATCAACAGGTATATACTTTGTTTTCCTGATTTGTTCCTCTTTTTTCCAGTTCTCACCAAGAAACTTGCTACGTTTCTTTGGTGGAAGAGTGCTTTGACAAATATTTGCAGAGGCATGTAACTCTGATCCCTCAGAGTTCTCATTGTTTTGTTTTTTGAGGCATTTTTCACAACACCAATTATCTGGTGCATCTTTATAACAGTCTACCCGGGAATCCCTGAAAGGAAGAGAAATGACAGAATTAATATGTGTGCATAAAAAACACAAACAATATATAATAAAACTAAATGCCACAACATGCTTGAAAGCATATCTAAAAATAAAGAGAGAACTTACTCGTGCATGACAACATCTTTGTAGTCATGGCCGGTTACTGTTGCAATTTGACAACTTACATCACCGCAAACTTTACAAATCTTTTCCTGCAAGTTACAGAAAACACAAGAAATTTAAAAATTGACCTACTCATAATCCAACTTAAGTGAAGCTCATACTGGCCTCTAGTTTTGGCGATGAACAAGTATCTAGATGCTATGAAAGGGCGCTATTGAACTTCTTTTGTTGCACCAGAATTTTGAATGAGGGGGCAAAATGTGATCAGGTATACATATTCAACTCATTAGCCATTTATTTATTTTGTTATTAACATCCTTTCCTGTATCTTCTGTTGGACTCGAAATGAAATTTATCAGAATAACATAAACAACCTGTTATAGAGCATAAATCTTGATCACATGAACAGTCTATAGGTATAACAAATACTTCCTCTATTTTAATTTATTTGATTCATTACTCCTCCTTATGTCCCAATTTCTATGGAACTTTTCGCTTCGCGGAAAAGTCGAACAATCTAAATTTTACCATAACTTTTTATATATCCTTTAAATATTTTAAGTTGACCAATATTGTGACTTAAACTACTATTTATGTAGTTTGTTAATATAAATTGACATTCACCGTGAAATATCTTTAAATTTCTTAAAAGAAATAAATATATATTCATAAACTACGTAAAAAATAGCATAAGTTATGATGATCGTCAATTTTAAATATTTTAAAGATATATGAAAAAAATTATGATGAAAGTGAAACTTGTATAACTCTTGAAATTCTAAAGGTGCCACGTAATTGGAATGGATGGAATATTATTTTTATAAAAATAATAAATAAATATTTATTTATTTAAAGTCCCAACTCTTTAATTTCTATGTGTATTTTTGTAGTGTTAGCCGTAATATCGTTTGTTACTTTATGAGGCTTTAGTTGATGCTCCAATGTGGGCTTCAGACACCGGTTGGAAATTAAAAAAAAAAGATTAAAGCAAAACAACTGGAAATCGGACGAGTAAATACAAAGAATAGTATAATATATTCTTTCGTCCAATCTATATGGTACATTTTAAATTTTGAGACTCAAATGTTTCTTCATGACCTTTTTTTTCTTTTCTTTCAAAAATTATGAATTATAAATTATTTTTGTAAAAAAAATAAAAAATAAAAATTTCATGTCAAAATTATTCTGTAAAAATAATTTCTTAAAATTTAACTGCATCACATGTAGTTAGAACTTAGTAAACAAAAATATTAGGGTTTACCTTATGGGGGCGTTGTCCCTTTTGCCTCTGATCGTGAGTGGCCATTTGCGCTTCACAACAGCACACCAACAATGAGAAAACAATCAGAATAGGTCCCACACGTCACATAATTTTTTGGTAATAAATTAATTTCAAATTAAAAAAAATAAAAATCATAGAAGGTAATTTTTGCACATTTCTCGCACATTCCTTCAAAAAGTACACTAGATTACTAGGAGGAGCTCTTTTCTCGTACTCATTAATATTCTCTCTCTCTCTCACCCCCCCCCCCCTCCCACATATATAATAATAAAGGTATATACATATGAAATTTAGTTAAAATAAAGATTAATAACACATAAATGAAGAAAAATATAGACGTCATGCCTTAAAAGTTGAAGCTCTAATCTCAAAACGCCTAAATCTAAATATATTATAGGGAATAGTCTCTTGAGGTGTATATATAGGTGAAAGTGTGTGTATTGTGTATAGAGAAAGGATAAAAAAGAAAAACAACAAAATCTAAAGTTAATGCAGATAATGTAAAAAGTAAATAATAAATTACATTTTGTCACTTAGCAATATAAATGTCAAACAGTCAAGTCAAGTAAAGAAAAAATGACTTGTTATTTGACTAGTTTGATTTAATGTTGGGAAAAATTCCTGACCACTCTTGATTATTTTTTTGTATTAAAAAATTGAATCAAACAAAACTTATATATATATATATATATATATATGATTTAGATAGATAGAATTTCACTTAAAATAACAATAAAGATCTACGCATATATATAGAATTTACTTAAAATGAAGATTTAGAGCACATAAATAAAGAAAAAGATAGATATCATACCTTAAAAGTTGAAGTTCTAATCTCAACACGCCCAAATCTAGTGCATTATAATGAATATTTCTTTTTGAGTTTTATGTGTGCGTCTATAAATATATATAATATTCATGTATTTTGTGGAGAGAAAAGGATAGTAACAATAATAATAAATGTAGATACAGTGCAGATAATACAAAAAGTAAATAATTAATTGCATTATGTCGTTTAGCGATAGACATGTCAAACAGTCAAGTGAAAACTGAAGAAAAAAATTGATTTGTGATTTGTCTACATTAATTTAAGGTTGAAAAAATGCCTTGTCCACTCTTGGCTATTTTTTGTATTAAAAAAATAAAATAAATCAAACTAAACTCAAATCAAACTCACATAAAATATATATAATACTATATCTCTCTCTTACACACGTGCACACGCACACAAACCCACAATATAGAGAGAGAGAGAATATTTACTTAAAATAAAGATTAAGAACACATAAATAAAGAGAGAGAAAAGAAGATACCGTAAAAGTTGTAGCTCTAATCTCAACATACTCAAATCAAGTATATTATAATAAATAATCTCTCATATATATGGTACATTTTAAATTTGAGACTCAAATGTTCCTTCATGACCTTTTTTTCTGTCTTTTAAATATTATACATTATAATTTATTATTACTTATAAATTCTTTTTGTATAATTTTAAATATGTAATTCATTTATTAAAAAATAAAAATCTTATGTCAAAGTTGAATCAATTTTATTGAAAAATAATTTCTTAAAAATTTAACTACATCACATGTTTTAAAAACTTACTAAAAAAGAAAATTAGAGTTTACCTTATGGGGGTGTTGTCCCTTTTGCCTTTGATCAACATACTCAAATCAGTAGGAGGAGATCCTTTCTCGTACTCATTAATACTCTCTCTCTCTCACACACATGCATATATATAACAATAAAGATATATACATATGGAATTTAGTTAAAATAAAGATTAAGAACACATAAATGAAGAAAAATATAGATGTCATACCTTAAGAGTTGAAGTTCTAATCTTAAAACGCCTAAATAAAGTGTATTATAAGGAATAGTCTCTTGAGGTGTATATATAGGTGAAAGTGTGTGTATTGTATATAGAAAAAATGATTAAAAAAAAAAAGAGAACAACAAAATGTATAGTCGGATAGTATAAAAAGTAAATAATTAATTGCATTATGTCGTTTAGCTGTAGACATGTCAAATAGTCAAGTCAAAATTGAAGAAAAAATTGATTTGTGATTTGTCTACGTTAATTTAAGATTGAAAAAAATCTTTGACCACTCTTGACTATTTTTTGTATTAAAAAATAAAATAAATCAAAATAAAGTCAAATCAAACCAACATAATACGTATACAATACTCTATCTCTCTCACACAAACACGTGCGTGCACGCAGGCAGCACACACACCCACACTCACAATATAAATATATAGAGAGATATAATTTACTTTAAATAACGATTAGGAACACATAAACAAAGAAAAAAGATCAAGACCATACCTTAAAAGTTGTATTAAAAATATAAAATAAATCAAACTGAAGTCAAATCAAATCGGCATAATACATATATAATACCCTATCTCTCCCACACACACGTGCGCGTGCGCACACAGCACGCACGCCCACACTCACTATATCAATATATAGAGAGAGATAATTTACTTAAAATAAACATTAAAAACACATAAACAAAGAAAAAAGATAAAGATCATACCTTAAAAGTTGTAGTTAAAATAAAGATTAAGAACACATAAATGAAGAAAAAGATAGAAGTCATACCTTAAAACTTGAATCCTTAATGTCAACACGCCTAAATCAAGTTTATTACAATAAATAATCTCTCCAAGTGTGTGTGAATATCACTGTGTGTACGCACGCGTATTTTGTAAAAAAATTAATTGTATTAGGTCGTTTGGCAATATAAATGTCAATTACTAAAGTCAAATCGAAGAAGAAAAAAAAAACTGATTGTGCTTTAACTAGGTTGATTTAATTAATGTTGAGAAAAATTTCGTCCACTCTTCATTATTTTTTGTTTTAACAAAAAATTAAATTAAACTAAACTCAAATCAAATCGATATAATGCATATATAGTACACTTTCTCTCACACACACAAACACATTGTGTGTATTGTGTATAGAGAAAAGAATAAAAAGAGGGGAAAATGTAGAACTAGTAATCATAAAGTATTAGCACATTATATAAATATTAAATAATTAATTGTAATATGTCATCTACCGTATACAAGTCAAACGGTCAAGGCAAGCTGAAGAAAAACACTTTGTTATTTGACTAGATTGATTAGTGTTGACAAAGTTCATCGGTCACTCTTGATTATTTTTTTATTAACAAAACATTATTTTTATATATATAATTTAAGCATCTAGACAACTCCTATAACAATAGTTTAACTTTTCACCTATATAGCAATAGAGTTTTTACAAAACAAAAGAAACATATCCAATAGAATAAAATAAATGAATTAAAAAAGAAAACAATACAAATTCCAATTGATAAATAAGATCGCATTCCTTAAATTTCTTCCATTTTGTTGTTTACCTTCCGCAATCTCCCAATAATTAATTAATGTTGCTCTCTTATAACCTTAAAACAAGTATTGTAACTGAAATGGAACTCTCTATCTTCTTTGATAATTGTTTCAATGATTTAATATAAGAATATATCATTTTTAATTTAACACGATAAAAGATGGGGTGTAACGAATATGTATCTTTTTTTTTATGAGTTTGATTGCTAAAATATATAGTTTGATTTTATTTGTTTTAAGATTTTTTGTTGTTTTTGTTGCTTGGATTTATATGTAAATTGATGTATTAACCATTAATTTTTTTGCTTGAATAAGAGCCTGTTTGGCTCAGCTTAAAAGCTGGTCAAACTGACTTAAAAGCTGGTTTTTGACTTATTTAGTTGTTTGACAATCCTCAAAATAACTTATTTTAAGTTAAAAAAAAAACTTATTTTAAGCCAAAAGTTAAAAGTTGGGGTAGGGGTGCTTTTTTTCCCACCTTATAAGCTGTTTTAAGTTGACCACATTTTTACCTTTTTACCCTTGATATTTTTATACAATCTCCAAATTACCCAAATAACCCTAATATCTCTTTCTTCTATTTTCCCCTTTTCACATGTGGACGATAGACAATTACTATTACTAATAAATGAAAATAAAATAAATCTTAAATCTTTCAAGTGATCTATTCAAATTATATATTATTAAAATATAAAATAAGTTGCACATATAACTTAAATAAAAATTTATATTCCTCTTATAAATAATTTGTGATAATAAAGAAATTGTGAATGATAGACTACTATTATTACCTATGGATGAAACTAAAATAAAATCTTAAATCTTTCTTTGATCTATTCAAATTATATATCTTTAAAATCTATAATAAGTTTATATTCCTCTTATAAATAATTTGTGATGAAAAATAAATATGCGAATGATAGTAAAATATAATTATATATGACTGTAAAATATAAATTAATTAACTTTTATTATGTTAAAGACTTTTAAGGGTGTTTCAGACATTTGATTTAAAAAGCTGTTTATCAGCACTTATTTGTCAAACACATCAACAACTTTTTTTTTTAACTTCAGCACTTTTATCCAAACGCTGCTTATTTTAAAAATAAGTTTCAGCACTTTCAAAAGTACTTTTTTAAAGCTGCTTTTACTAAGCCCATCCAAACGGGGCCTAAAGAAACTCAATGCATCCCGACTAAGTTCTCACAAACGTGCACTTTCCTTGTGCATCAAAATGCTTCACCAATATGAATAGGTTTTACATAATGATAGGTTGGTTATATACTCTAATGCGTCTTCCTTCTTCGAGCCTTTTGGTATGTATTACCCCCTAACCATAGATCACATCCATAAGATAAGAAACTCAATTTCATACTGCTGCTGAGTCGAAAAAAATTCAATAGTATTTGTATCAAATCAATAAGGATTGTTTAGTGGTAGAAATCATATTAATTAGATGATACATTTTCATTCTCAATATATTATTAGCATCCAAATCTAAAATCATAATTTTTAAAAAAGAGAGGAGAAACTACATAAATGGGCTAACTACATATTCATATCCTAATTCAAAATAATTCAAGAAATACTTATTTTCTTAGTTTCTTTTACAATTTATACCTCTCATTCATTAAGGTTGATAATTTTTATATAACCGATATTAAATCAGTATATATAAATATATAGTTATAGTATTATTATGGTTTCATCTTCGTTCATTAGTCAATGATACTATATATGTACAATATACTATAACTTGTCAAAAGTTATAAAAAAAATACAATAACTATACAATATATCTTATGTATATATGAGCTACACACAAACTATACGTTAGAATATACTCAAAAAATTGAATAATTACTTAATTATACATATAATATATAATAATTATTCACTTTCAAACAACTTAAAATCACCTCTTATTATTTCAAATATTAAATGTGAAATCTTCTTAGTATTTTAAATCATTAGAAATATAATTCGCCCGAAATAATTTACACATCAAAAGTGAAAGAGGAGGAGCAACAAGAAGCAGAAGAAGACAAAAACACGCCAAAATTTGTAAATTAAAAGTAGCATTAATATATTCGTTGTCTTAACCTAATTCGGCCTCCATTTTTCTAAATGGAAAAAGTAAATATCGTGTACGCCGTACAGGACTTCTTCGGATTTTTTTTTTGTGTTCGGCGCGCCGCCGTTGCCCTCCGGTGCAAAAGGGATTACGTATACACAGCATTCATCGGCCTCTCATGGTATAACTATTTGTTTTTTTTCTTTCTCATAGCTAATGTTTATGTGATTCTGTTTTTTTTTTTTAAAGTTTATGTTAAAGAGTTCATTCTTTTCAGGATGATGACTAGCGTAAAGTGTTGGGATTAAGCGTTTTTTAGTATTTTTTCTGAAGGATGTGTTTCATTTAATGGATGAAAAGCTCGAATTTCTGATTCTCGGATTTTTATGAAATGGGAAATGAGTAAATGGAAATTAAAAATTTCCTGGGTTTATCATTTGTATAGTTGTGGCTGAAAATGGGTAAAAGAATTGTTTTTTTTTGGGGGGGGGGTTATGACTTGCAAAAGTCAATTTGATAGAGGTTTATATGTGTAATCTAGATATATCCATGTTTGGCGTAATTGGTAAAGTTGTTGTCACGTGACATAGAGGTTACGGGTTCGAGCGGTAGAAACAACTTCTTATAGTCCATAGGACTCCACGCATACAGAAACTTAGTGCACTCGGGTGTGTTTTGTCAAAGGAATTTCAGTGCTTAGAAAAAATCCTCTGTATTAACACATTCTGTATGTATTACACAAGTTTCGATCCCTGACAACATGCCCCTCACTACACTTCAATAAGTATCTTCCTTCAGTCTCCCAACACTTCATAGTCTTACTGTATCAGTGGTATTATTGATCGAGCCTTGCAATTCTTGCTCATCACTTACAGAATTCAATAGAAATTGGAACTTATGATTGCTTTAAGTCTTACTGTATGAGTGGTATTCTTGCTCAAGCCTTGCAATTCTTGCTTATCACTTACGGAATTCAATAGAAATGGAAACTTATGATTGCTTTAAGCTCAATTGCACGATCAAAGTGTAGAATGAACATTTAACTTCTTAAATTTCATGATAGGTACGTAGAATTGAAAGATAATAAATCTCATAAAATTGTGAGCAATTCATTAAGTGAAAACTTAAAATATAAAAATCGATAACGTCATAAAAGAAGCAATGGAAGGCTACATTAGAAATTTTACTAAATAAAACATGACATGAGTATGGTGTTTGTACAACTTCTAAGTCACACACAGGTCTAGGCCTTGACTATACCCAAAAATATACAAAATGTCACTTCATAAGCAAATATGCCTCAATGATAAATAGGGTTCTCCCAAACCAACAGAATGAGTGGAGTGTCTAGCAAACATCAGTGCCATCCTGAGAATCCAAACATGCATCACAAAAAGATGCAGTTCTTGGACAAAAGAGAAGTGAATAAGTGAGTAAATGTGAAATAGTACTTACAATCTTACATGATGAGGTGAAATATTTGGTAGCTTTGACCAGCTTGCTAAATGAATTGCTATGGTTAGCAGTCTTTGATGGATAAGATATTCATCTTTCAAAAGTTGTTATATTTTAGATGTAAGATGTAAGGGATGGCATGTTGCACATACTGCGAATAGGCAGTATTAACTTCTAAAGTTCTCAACTCTCATGTAAGTTTGTCTAGTATGTTTTCCTTTTATAAGAAGCTTGAATTCAGTACAAGTGCTATCATAATATCTTCTACATCGTCTAGATTCAAGGGACAGATTAAGAGTAAACCTTGATTTTCTCAAAATATTGTTCTTTTCCTTCATCAACAATATGGCACTACAGTTCTGGATTTGATTGTCAAACAATGTATAGTGATCTATGATGTAAATCATTGTTCCATAACTATTAGCAACTTCAATTTTATCTCCATTAGGAAATAGTAATCAATACACTGCTGTTCGTTTGGTGCTTTTTCCTAATTATTTTGGGTGTAGTTCAATTGTCCCAATTCCTACAATTGGTTGTCTTTGTTGTTCTGAAACCCCCGTTTCCTGGCGAAAAAAAGATGTAGGGGAGAATGTTAATAAATGAGAGCCTTGACGCTAGTTTTTTACCGATGTTGGTATCTTTGAAGACAAATCCGTTGTGCACAATGGTTACCTACATAGAATGAGTATACAGATAAACAATATTCTGACAAAAGAGAAGCATATCAAATTTCTTATTATGTATTTACAATAGCAGGAAGAAAATTAGCATTATACCCTGGTCTTTTACTATCCATTACCTCCTTAAAATGTTTCTTAAGGATGGCTACTGTGTTATTTCCGTCTAGACGAGATGTAACCAGAGAACATTCTAGGAAATAATTTGTTCGGAGGATACCTGAAATGCAATCAATGCATTTGATATGATCTGTTACAAATATAAGCATGTGAGGTTAACAAAGATGAAAACATGATTTTGCTGGTTATGATTTACCTGTGTAATTAATGATATTTTGCAACTGATTTTTACACTGTTATTAGTACAAAAATGTTGACGTGCACCATTATGTTCTGTCTCTCTCTCTCTATAATTTTAACATGAAAGTGCAGTCTGGCGATCTGAAAGCCATGACTCTCTGGTCCATACTTGCTTCATCACCTAGTGTCATATCTAATATGTACTTGTAAACCTCAAACATTGTCCCGATCCCAAATCCCTTCTTTTTTAGTTGACTTGCCATTTCTAAGGGATAAGTTGATCTTTTAACACAAGGGGTTGCTCCTCGTTAAGGAAATTGCTAGTGAAATATCAGCTATGCTTCCCTTTTATGGAATGTTAAGTAGGGATGAGAAGTGGAATAGAACTTTAAAAGGCCTAAATGGAAGTGATATTAACTCTTAGGGAGAATAAGGACCTCTTCATGTTTTCTAATCCAGCTGGCATTCTTGACTACCGGATCCTAATGGTATTGGATATTGGGTTCCGCCTAGATGATACATTGATTCTTTCAATAGTATGATTTGACATTTAGTCCTAAATTCTGCTTTTCTCTTCCTTTCAGATATTGTGTGCTGCGCTGTTGTGAGGATGCACTAGTGGATTGGTGGTTGTAAAATTGTGATATTGGCAAGGGGGTAAGTATTCATCTAGAATATGAGTCTCATGAGGGATACACGTTACATGCCTCTGCAAAGATATATTGTGCAACCAAGAATCATAGCAAGTTTATCTACTTTTGCTTGACCCAAAATACCCAAATGTTGTTCACCTCCTACGTGTCTTTTACCCCATTTTCTTCAAACCCATTTTTTTGCCAACTTTTGAAGTTCATAGAATTTGAAGCTTCAGTAGATGTGTCTGATGTGTACTTAAACTGCTACGCAGTGTCTTCTACATTTGCTTGATTGTGTTTATGTATCTAATTACTCAATTCTTATGGGCAGCTGTGGACATTTTTCGGAGGGACAAGAAAATTACTGCCAGTGTGCTTGGGTTTGCCACTTCACTTTGGGTGCTTTTTTAGTTGCATCAGAACCATTTGCTTACGTTTGTTTGCCATATACTGATCCTTGCATTGGCAGTCCTTTTCCTTTGGTCCGATGCATCCACCTTCATCAACAAGTAAGTATACTCTTTAACTTCCTTAGTAATTTGTCTATCCAGATATACCTTAGGATTCACCTTGAAATATATGCACCAGATCTCCACCCCAAATTCCAGATGTCATTCTGCCTGAAGACATTGTCCTGGGTGTTGCTGCTGCAGTCAGGACTGAAATAGACAAAGGTCTTGAAAATAATTTCTGTTGCTGCTGTACTCAGGACTGTATGTTATCATGTCCTTCTTGTTAATATTATCTTCCAAAATAATTTCTGCTACACCATGATATCTGTAAAGCTTTCATTGCTAAATTTATTTAATTTTTACTTCCATCCAATTAATGTAGTCTATTTTTTTTGTCCGGGTGGTTTTACGGAGTCCCGATGCCCAAAATGAGATAAAATAATGAATGCACATTGATTACTAACATAGGTTAACATAGGGCAAACTGAGCTCCAAATATGTTCAAATTCAACTCATCTCAAATTTCTAATGCTAGCCTTTTGAATGACCCATATTTGCGAGTAGTTAGTTGTGTCATTATTCTTTTATATGTAATTTCCCTATTGATAAGTAAAGAAACATATATGATACTTTTTAGTTGATAACATAGTTTTGGTTCTCGAAGCAGTGTTAAAGAAAGCGAGATGCGAGCCTTCTACGCTTCACAGACTAGAATGAGTATGTGAGCGCTTCATTGCTTAAAGCGTGAAGCGGAACCTTATCGCTTTTTTTCGCTTCACGCCTCTCAAAACACAATCTTTAAGGGATGACCTAGTTGATAAGGCATAGGAGTTACAAATTGGAGATTCCAGGTTTGAATCCCAGCTGCAACACATGGTGCACCCATCTAGTCTAGTCTTGGTGGGCAGCACTACGTTATCAATATGTGCCATGGACTCCAATACTTGCTTTGTTTCCATTTTTGTAGTATGGTGTTGAATAATTCTCTCAGGTTACCTTGTGACTTCTTTGGTGCGAGGAAGTTAGACTTTTGCATATTAGTTTAATAATTTCCCTTGTGGGATGGACAAATTGACCAAATAATTAGTTAGGGTGCATGCAAGCTCTAGGGACACCATTAGTATCACTTAAAAAATGAACTGGGCACTGTAGAATATATGTCCAACTATGGAGAAGAGTTCTAGTCATACATAGTTGTGAGTTGTGACATAATGATAAATAATGCTAGTGAGACAATAAATAACTTGATCCCCATTATGTATAAATTCCTTGATGACTTAAAGTTACTATCACTATAGATAAATGTATTATGTCACCTTATGTTTCAAGTATAGGAAATAAGTACATGTAGGTAAGTAGGTTATATGGGAGCTATGCATTGTTTATTTTTTAAATATTTCAGTTTTGCGACTCAATGATATGTAGTGTGCAAAACAATTTTTACCTCCATGTGGAACTTTCTTTGAATGTTCTTTTCTAAGAAATTGCTTCATGGTTGTTTCATGTATCTTTGAAACTCGAATGTCTTTTGTTATACGTTAAAAAGCAAAAGTTTCCTTAAATTATTCTACATATTACATATATATTATAGATGGTTTTTACTTGAAGAATTTGCACTACTCAACAAGATTGCAAGTTCTATTCTCTACATTTATTAGTCTTTCTGTTCTTTGCATTTTAGGGGAAGTTTTGACATCTTAGATGCTTTGGAACTCACACATGAGATATTCAATAATTGTATCTGGGTTCAACCTCTTTTCAGAGTTAGATGTAAAGTATATGAGTTTTCTAAGCTATTGTCTAATACTATTGAATATGAACTAGTTTTACATGAGTTTATTTGGGCAAAGTCTATTCAACAATCGTTGTCCGGATAAAGAAGACATATGGCTGTATATCCTTGCAAGTGAGAGAGAAAAGTTGGTTTTTGGCTTATATATCTATTCGAAATTGGATAGGGTTGCAAAGTATAAGTGCACCCTTGCCTAGGAATTTTTTAATAGAAATTGATTTGCATTTACTATTTTATGTAGGTTTGAAATATATATATTTCTAATGAAGTTTATGTGTATCAAAGATTTGGTGATGAGAATGTTTAACATCATTTATAAGCGTTCTCATTACTAGATCTTTGTTACGCATGAACTTCACTGGAGCAGTATTTATCTCAAGACCGACATATAATGGAAAATGCAAATAAATTTCTAGTTAAAACATTCTCGGGCAATGGCGGATTTCAACTTTGCAATCCTTGCCTCTTTACGAATGTATATTTAAGGTAGAAGCTAACCTCTATCTATCTCCCAGTTGGAATGAATACAATCTTGTATCTTCTTTACCCGAACAATGGTTGTTGAATAGACTAGCTCAGATATTTCAGAGCAGAACTAGTTCAAATTTAAGAGTATGAGGCAATAATTCTAGGAGCTCATACACCTTACGTCTAACTTTGAAAGGAGGATGCGCTTGGATGCAATTATTGAGCATCCTAAGTGCAAATTCCAGAGCACATGAGATATGAAAACTTCCCCTGAAATACAAAGAGATTGACTATTAATTACAAAAAAGTTGTATTCTTTTTGAATGCTGCCAGTCCCTCCCTCAAATTTAAGTAAGATCATCAATATTTTTATGTAGCTTGTAGAATTATCAGAGGTGTTACTCTTATACCTTAGCCACTAGACCATCTCCTTGGGAAACAACATTTTGTTGTGAACCAAAAAAGTATTATAAATTTATTCGTACTTGTCAATAAAGAGATTACAAAGATTGGGAGGTTTAGTACTTTGTCAAAAATAAAAGAAGATGATGAGGTTCATAAGTCAGCTGACTACTGGCAAAGGTGAGCTTAATTTGAGTTAGTAATAAGTGTACTTGATAAAGTGTATAACATACTTCCAGGAATGAGCTTGGAGTAGGAGCGAAAGTGGGTTCATCATTCCACTCGCTTTGGAGGCATTGGGACTCCTATGCTCTAGAATGGTAGAACTACAAGGACCTAACAAGCAGGCTACATCCATTGGATGGAAGTACATGAGTAAATAAAATTTGCTAGAAAAGATTTGCAAATGTTGATGGTCTAAGGAGATCATTATTTCGAAAGACAAATATCAACTCTAGATATATCAATGACATTATTAGACTATGATAGAAAATCAATTTTTGGATGAATGAAGGTAAAAGAATAGTATATATTTGAACAAATGATGAATACAAGAAATGTTGGTGAAAATTCACCTTTAGATGATTATACTTGTTTTATGCTCGGTTCAGTTTTCTGTCTTTTGGGAAATTGTGAGGTTTCATATATATATATGAACAAAAAACATATTCATTCTTTTGTTTATTTTTTTTTTTAGGAAACTCATGCCCCAACAAAAAATGTGTAAAATCAAAATGAATATATGTATACATGGTTAAGCTAATCAAGTAAGGTAATTTTTTAAAAAAAAAATTGAAATTGAGGGTTTAAATTATATCCAAACAAAATATATTCAAATTCTAAATATTTTTTAGAAAAAATACTACTCCAACTTTCAAATAAAGTAATTTTTTTATTTAATAACTAAACACCTACGTAATTTCACTAAATTTCCAGCATTTATGTACATTGTATAAAATGTGAATTTTGTATATATAGTATATACCCCGCAATATTTTACTTAAGAAAATCTCTAAATAGTTGGATCTAATATATTTGAAATGATTTTTTTACATAATCTTTCTACTGTATGAATGTTTCAAAACTTATGTTTTGGTGTAGGTCAATTTACTTGATGATGCAAAAAATATACTCTAAACTAACAACACACGAAATTTAAATTCAAGATTCATTTCCTATCCATTTCCTTATTCTTTGTAGGTACTTTTTATCTTTTTGTCGTGGCCAAGATGTGAGCAAATTAATAAAATATTTTTTTTTTGGTTCAATCAGTTTCTTAACAAAAGTAGGCTGAAGGATGATTCTTGTTATTTTTTGGATAATATAAGGATATTTTTTGCTCAGTTAGATAATATAAAGATGTACGTTAGATTTGAGTCATAGTTTAGTTAAAAACTCTAAGAAATATCATGTCAGATTTTAGAGAATCTTAATGCTACCAAATATGTCGAGAAAGCTGGGTTTAGCATGGCTGAGTTAAATGAGATGGAGCATCTGTGTAATAGCTTGGGTCACCTAGATGTATCTTATTCTTGAGACTGGCTGCACTAAACAAACTGCACACTAGGGATAGATTGCTGAAATGGGGAATGGTTGTGGATCCTATCTGTCCTTTCAGAACTCTCATCTTTTTTTTTTGCTTGTACAGTCTCTGCTCACATATGGCAAAAACTCCTCATATGCTACAGATAAGAGCAGTAGAGTTGAAGTTTACAGGATGATACTTGCAGCCACTATTTACCGTCTGTGGAGGGAAAGGAACATGAGAGTCTTCCAGCATCAACAAAAAACCAGTAGAGCTACTCACTAAGCTGATTATCCGACAAGTTCATGCTAGATGTAGTAGACATCTTAGGTGGCTAGTTGATTAGAGACTCGTAATTTCTACCCTACTTAGAAGGACAGGAATATTCCGTGTACGTGCCGTACTCTATGCAGTAGTTACCTCTGATGCTGTGAGGTTAGGAAAGGCTTGTAGCTTGCTGAAGTGATGCAGCATCACTCAGTTTTTTTCTTTTCCTGTATTCCAATGTTCATTTTGGTTTATAAAATTGTTTGGTTACAGGGTTCACAAAGAACATATAGATGTGGTACAAGGTGATGAAGCAAGAATGGATATCAGAGTCATGGCTTTCAGCTCGCTTAACTGATCGTCCACCCTTTAATGCTAAAAAAGCATAGAGAGAACTTACCAATGCACGTCAACATCTTTGCAGCAATGGCAGGTAATAATGCTATTTAGAAACTTATATCATCGCACAGTTCGTATAGAAAACAAAAGAAATCTAGAAGACCAGTTTTCTTCCTGCCATTATAAATAAATGATGAACAATTTGATTTGCTTCTCTTTTGCATAATCAAAATATTGTTCATCTGTATACTTTTTTTTCTATATAAATTTGTTGTTTTGTTCTTTAATCTTATACCATTAGACAATTTACCCAATTATTAATACCCTCCCAAACATCTTCTTTTGGATTTGAAAGGAGATTTTAGAGAGACAACCTATCATAGAGCATAAACTGTTGATAGTGCAGTATGGCTTGAGTAAAATAAAACCCCAATCGTAGTGCTATGTATTGATGTTAAATTATTAGTGGAGTGTTTCGTATAAAACTAAGTAATAGTAGATATTTAAAACTACTCTGATTGGTCCATATTTGCCTTTTCTTAAAGTGTTAAACACCTTTTAGAAATAATTATGATGTCCGGACGAACTTGGATAACTTTGTTCAATGTCTATTTTTAAGAAAGATTAAATCGTATAATAATATAAAATAGTAATATAATAATAATTAAAAAAAATAATTATGATGTCCGGATGAACTTGGATAACTCTGTTCAATGTCCATTTTTAAGAAAGATTAAATCAAATAATAATATAAAATAGTAATAATAATAAATTTTTTTTAAAAAAAACGCATGCTTAACCCAATCTAATTATCCCAAAAAGAATGGCATTTTTTGCCATAGAAAAAGAGACCAAGGAAGAGGCATTGATCGCATGAACATTGCTGCAGTTAAAACAAATACTTCAGCCATTTTAATTTTTTTGATTTATTATTATTGTTAGCTCCTTAAAAATGTTATTTATTTTGTTTATTTTTACTACTTTTAAATTTTAATAAGTATTATGATACTTTCAATACTATCGGCTTTTTCTTCTTTCTTTTACTTTTTTTAGACTCTCCATCACCTGTCAAAATTAGACAAACAGCAATTGTAACCTGGAAATTGTATATCATACTCTTCCATCTCAATTCATATAACATCTTTTTTTTCATGTCTTTTTCAAATTGGTAATGTTAACAACATACCGTCGAATCTCACGAGTAGGATTTTGGGAGGGTAGAGTGTATACAAATTTTATCACATTCATAAAACAGAGAGATTATTTTCAAAAGATCCTTGTATCGAGTGCAGTAAATTCAAGTACAAAGTATAAGAAACAGTGTTTAAAACATACAATTAGGACGGTCAATGGTGAACTAACAAACATGGTGCAGTAATTGAAACATAGTAAACAATCGATGATACAATTTATAAAAACATAAAATTTCTTGTCAAGATCAATCAAAAACTTGTTAAAAAAAAACTTTTAAAATTCATCTGTGCCATGCTGTTGGAACTTACTCTCTCTGTCTATAATTACTTGTTCACTTTGGAATTGATACACCTATTAAGAAAATAATACTCCGTTTGTTTAATTATGATTTTCAATTCTATATATTTTATTTCAAATTTTGATTTGTAAAATTTTGTATATATATATATATATATATATATATATTATTTTATTTTATTTTATTTATAGCTAAAAATATTATTTATAATCTGCTTTGTTAATATATTTTAAGTTAGTTTCTAGTTTTCAATGTTTATCTATTTTATTTCAAATTTGGACTTGTAAATATTTTATTTTGTGTTAAGATCTGAAGTTATAATTATATTGTTATAGTTTTTCAAATTCGAAGTTAACAATGTACTTTGTAAATTATTTTTGTATTCAATTTGCATCTAGCCTTTAATTTTATTAGTTTAGCATAATGAATGTTGATATTTTAAAAAAATATTTCGTACTCATGTGAATTTGACAGTCTTTTCAAAAAATTTCATTCTCTTAACATTTTTTTAAGTTTAGTTTATCACATAGGTAAGTGAAAAACTGTTTATCGCTTTTCAAATACGTATAGTTATAAAAAAACGTAAAAATCGGAAAAAAAAAACTCGAAAGAACCGACTAAAACCGAAAAGAAAAATCGACTTTATATGGTTTGATTTGGTTTTTAAATTTGATAAAATGACATAATTGGTTTAGATTTTTTTAAATAAAAAATCAAATCGAACTGACCTATGTACACCCCTAAAGGAAAGGAGTCTTTCTCGTTCCGCTCCTCCATTTTTTCATAATTGTACGTTTGTTAGCATATTGTTTGCATAATTTCACTTGTACATATTGTTACTGCCATTAAACTTATGGCAATAACGCAGTAGGTCCCAAAAAGTGACTCATATTTTGCCATTTAGGTCTAAATGTGAGGAAGTTCTGTATATTGTATGTTAGTATAAAATTGCTTTATATATTGGTAAGAAGTCAATATCAAAAAAAATTTGTTACGAGGAAAAAGTTAATGGGTGGGATGTGTTTATTGGAAGGTGAATATGTATTATTATTTTCAAAATGAAGAAGAGTCTAAAATGTTTCGAATTAGTAGAAAATTATTTTTCGATCACCTTTCAGTACCTAAACATCAATTTTTTGGCTCAAAAATATTTTTGATACACGTCACAAAATTTGAGTAAAAAATTAATGCAACTTAGTTAATGTTTGTTTGGTCTAAATACGGTCTCATTCTCTCTACCTTCTCTTATCAGTGATTATGTTATGAGTTTTCTAGTTTCGATGTCTTATTTAATTAAATATTTGTTAGTGAAATTAAAAAGTGAAATAGTTTGATAGATTCTTATACTTTTATAAGTTTGTATTGTGAATCATTCAATTTACTCGATTGTCAATTGAACTCTTAAACTTACTCAAACATAATTTAATAAACTCCTATGACATTGACCAGACCTATGTGTCATTAGATGTCTAAGTTGGAAAAAGTCTGTAACTAAACGTCTATTAAATCAAGTGAGGAGCATTTCTACTTTAAAAGATATTAATTCCTTCGTTTAAAAAAGAATGATCCTATTTTCTTTTTAATATGTTTTCTTAAGAAAAATAACCACTTTCCGTTTTTTGTAACACTTTAACTTTCCACATGACATGTTTAATATCACAAAATTAAAGGGCATTTTGGTACATTTGACATAACTTTAATTTAGAAGGGATAATGCTATATAATAACAAATTAATAACCTAAAATAAGTGGAGTAGCTACAGTTTGATTTAATTGTGCTCCATAGCAAACGTTAGCCAAAGTTTATCAGTTGCCTCTCTCTCAAAAATCTCGCTCGCCACTCTCCCATTCTTGATCGCCACTCTCCCTCTGCTCGCCTCTCTCGCTTTATACACAGAAGTGTATAAATTGTGTTTCTATTTGTATAAAGCGAGAGAAAATTATATATACACATGAAAATACATATATCTTCATGTTATACACTTAATCATACAATTTACAAACATTTTACTTCAATTCAATTGTAGACAAATGCAAATTTTATACAAAATTGCAGCGAGAAAGACCAATGAATTATACAATTGCGAATTATACCATTGCAGTGAAATATAATGTTCTCTCGCTTTATACAACAGAAGTGCATAAATTGTGTTTCTGTTTTTATTTAAAGCGAGAGAAAAACATATATAATCTTCCTATACATTTATAATTATACAATATACATACATTTTACTTCGATTCAATTTTATGCAAAGTAAATTTTATACAAATATTGCAACGAAATAGACAGCGAATTATACAACTGCGCATTATACAATTGCAAATAAATAGGATAGCGAATTATACAATTTAGGCTAGCGAATCATACAATTGTATATGTATAGAGAGACCAGCGAATTATACAATTTAGACCAGCAAATTATACAATTGTATATGTATATCGAATTATACAATTATATGTTTGTTATGTAGCGCAATTATGTAAACTTTGCTATAACATACAAATATAAATTTTTTATTTGATATATATAAAAATTGCTCAATTTAGAATCATAAGATTAAAAAAGTCTCTCTTTTTTTAAACTTCATTTAAAGTCCAATTAGGTCTTTTTTTTTTTTAATATGAGGGAGTAAAATTATAAAAAATAATAATTTTTTAAACCATTAATAAAAAATATTGTCTTCTTCATTCCTTACTCTTTCAGTCATATCCTTCCTTGCCAACCCTTTATCTTTCTTTTCACAATCTATCTTCATCTATTTAGATGATCTTGACACCTTCTTGAGTCTACTAATTTATCGATGGTGTTCGCCGGACACCACTGATACTCAGTACAGGGAAAGAGAAAGACGCGTCTAGTCAACAGAGAGGAGAAAGAGGTAGGTGAGGGTGCGATGATCTAATCATGGTGACAAAGATGGTAATGGTGTGCGGCGGAGAGATGAAGGCGAAAATGGTGATGGTGCTCGATTAGATCTGATCTGATGGCTTAATTAGATTGTTGTTTTTGTGGAGGTTGGAGGAGGAAATAATAATGGTGATGATATGGCGGGATTAAAGCGGAAGGAATACAAGTGATTTCGCTGATAAACATGGCTATGGCGGCAACGGCGACGACTTTGGGCGTGATTCGTGAAACAGTGAGAATAGAGAAAATGTATTGATTTTATTTAAAGAATTTAATAAATTTTATTATTTTGTCCGTAATTGAATAATTTTGAAAATAATTAATATATTTGATGTGAATATAACATGTCACTTGAATAAAAAAGAGTGAATTGCACAAATGGTTAGAGGGATTTAAAAAGTATTATTTTAATGGAATTTAAAAGTTTAGTTGATAAATATTTAAATACAATAATTTACTATATAAAACACATACAAATTTAAAGGTTTATCAAATTATTTTGCCCAAATAAAACCAACAATATTCCGAAAAAAGAAAAAGTTACAGGAGTATTCAGTATTTATTTTAAAAAATAAACCAATAACACGTGATTTCTTTTGCTTTTTCTTGTTTTTGTAAAAAGACGCATGAATCTAAATTTTAGCTAATTTTACTATGTTTTTCATAAATGGCTAAGCATAGTCATAAATGAAAAATCAGAAGAGTTATAAATAAGTTTGTTAAATTAATTATCACTTTGACAAATGAATGTCTTTATTTTTTGTGATATGTGAAATTTATATTATAAAATTTTTAAATTTAAAATAAAAATCTTTTTCAATCGAATTAATATGATAATATGTGAAAACTTTTTAATCCATCTGTAATATCATTAACATAATCAATTATACGTGTGTAAATTTTTTAAAAATATTTTTCGTTAAATATATTTTCGGTTAATACCAAACACACGCACAAACTTCTTCGTCATAATGAATTTTTTGATGTAGACTTCTCTCATACCAAATAGCATAAAGCATTAACTTTAGTACTAACTTAGGGTACATAACTTCTCACATTTAAAGTTTTAAGCCAAAATATGAGTCTTTTTTTTTTTGGGTACAACGATTTTACCCCAAATTTATTACTATATTTTATTTGTTCAATATTAATTATTCATTATTCATTATTTTATTTAAGATGTCCAATGATATTTATTCACTCTATGAAATTATTAAATAATTTGACACTTAATTTATAATCTACTTTTATAATTAATTATAATTATTTCTCTATTATAATTTTCAAGACATATATTTATTATATTTTAAAAACAATATAGTAAAGAAAAAAATATTTTGGCCGGAAAGTGAAACAACGTATTTCACACTATTTTATTTTATCTTTTAAAATATTTTTATCGTTTTAATTTTAATATCTGTTAATTAAACATGAAAAAAATCAGTATATTTTAAAATAAAAAAAAATTATAATCTTCTTAACTTTTTAACCAAATTTTGGTTAAATTTTGTGATCATTTAGGCATTCCTTTTGCTTATAATTTTTTTAAAATGCGTAAAGTAAATAGCTGAGAAATATTATTAGACGAAAAGAGTTAGAATACATGACTCCTCACATTTAATTTAAAGCTAAATGCCAAAATATGAGTCCTTTTTTTTCTTTTAAATTTTTTTAGGACCTGTTACGTTATTACCCCAAATTTATTAGTAGTATCAAAACATACAAGTGACATTACCTAAACAACAGGGTGACAAATGAAGAATTATGAAAAAATGGAGGACGTTAATGAGAAAGAATCCCTTTGTATTCCACAGTAGTCTCTGCAGAAAAGCATTTACTTTTTTTGTTGTCTAAACTTCAAAATTTTAGCCCGTAAATTGTGTGCTTGTAGGACCATTTTTGAACTTTTTGTTCTTTGTTTGTCCGTCGTGGAGCTCAAATGGCCACTCTTTCTCCTAGGCAAAAGGAACAACACAGCATTCATCAGGCCCACATGGTGAAACTCTACTCATTTTATATTATTATACTTGTTTGTTTTTCCCCATACCTAAAGTTAATGTGATTCTGTACTTGTTTCTTTTTTTTTTTTCTTGGCAAAGATTGACAATCTTTTTTGGGATGATGATGATCCTTGGGATTAAGCGTTTGGTCTTTTTTAAGCTTTTATGGGAAATGTTGTAAATGTGGAGTGTTTAATTTAAGTAGTATTTATTGTGAAAGATGTGTTTCATTGTATTCTATTTTATTCGAGAATATTTTATTCTAGTATATTTTTAAAGGGTTTCTTATTTTACTAGGTTCATCCATCGGTATGAATTGAACCAGTTGCTAAGTTTATCTTTGGTTTAGTTTTGTGTTGCATGTTGTAAAGGTACTGCAGCATTACAGAGGAAAAACTATATTTTTTAGTATGTGTGTATATAATCTAAATAAATACTTGTTCGAGTGATGGAACGGAAGCTTTTTTGACTTAATTGGTAAAGTAGGTGTCATGTGACTAGGAGGTCATGGGTTCGACCGGTGAAAATGGGTTTTTGCCGGGATTTAGGGTGAATGATGTATATAGTAGAAATTGGTTTTTGCAGGAATTACTGTCATGGGTTTGAGTGGTGGAATCGGGTCTTTGCAGGAATGCAAGGTAATGCTGTATACAGTAGAATCTTGTGGTAAAGTCGCTGTCACGTGACTGGGATGTCATGGGTTCGAGAGGTGATTGCAGTAATGCATTGTAAATGCTATATGTAGTAGAATTGGGTTTTTGCAGGAATGTAGGGTAAATACTGTATACAGTAGAAATGGGGTTTTTGCAGGAATGTAGGGTAAATGTTGTATACGGTAGAAGTGGGGTTTTGCCGGAATGTAGTGGTCATGGGTTCGAGTGGTGGAAACGGGTGTTGCAGGATTGCTAGAATGCGGGTAAATGCTGGACTTAGTAGATTCTTGTGGTAAAGTAGCTGTCACATGACTAGGAGGTCATGGGTTCGAGTGGTGAAAACAGGTTTTTGTAAGAATGTAGGGTAAATGATGTATACAGTAGAAATGATTTTTTGCAGGAATGTAGGGTAAATGTTATATACAGTAGAAACGGGTTTTTGCAGGAATGTACTGATCTTGGGTTCGAGTGGTGGAAACGGCTGATCGCAGGAACATAGTGTAAATGTTGTATATAGTAGAATGGTTTTTGCAGGAATGTACGGTAAATGTTGTATACAGTAGAAATGTCTTTTTGCTGGAATGTAGGGTGAATGTTGTATACAGTAGAAATGGGTTTTTGTCATGGGTTCGTGTGGTGGAAACGGGTTTTTGCGGGAATTTATGGTAAATGCTGTATACAGTAGAAATGGGTTATGGCAGGAATATAGGGTAAATGCAGTATACAGTAGAATCTTGTGATCAGGCCTTTCTCCGGACTCCACACATAAGGAAATTTATTGCACCAGGCTGTCCTTTGCCGAAGGAATTTCAGTCCTTGGAAAATCCTTTGTATGCTTATACATTTTGTACGTCTTTCCACAAGCTTCAATGTTCGTCCAACAATAATAATTGATGTTATCACATCCTCCTCCTTGAGTACTTAATTAATATTTGACTTCCTGAAATCATGCCCCACACTACATTTACAGTTTCATGCTCGAGTCTCATCCCTTACTAACAAACACTCCATAATCTTGCCCAATGGTGGTGTCATCACTCGCGCCTTTCAAATCTCGGTCATCACTTACTCATTCGACACTTGTGGGCATTGGAACTTATTGCTTTAAGCTCAATTGCATGATCAAGAGTAGAATCAAAGGGTAACTTCTTAAATATCTGTTTAGTCTCTCAATTATATATGTGGTCCTCAACAAATCCTAGTTCTCTGACAACTTATGAACATTATAGGTACATAGAAGTGAAAGGTAAAGCATCTTATAAGACATTGAGTAATTCATTAAGTGGAAAGTTAAAACAAAAAAATCGACAATATCATAAATTAAAAAAAAGCCATGTGAGGCTACGGTAAGAATTTTACAAAACAAACATTACATGAGTATGGTGGCCATGGAATTTCTAAGTCACACATGAAACAAAGGTCCTGACTATACCCAAAAATATACAAATGTGACTTCATAAGCAAAAGTGCCTCAATGATAAATAGAGCCACACGCCAATGGTATGAGTGGAGTGCGTAGCGAGGGAGTGCCTCCCTGAGAGTCCATAAGTGCATCACAAGAAGATGTTGTACCTTGACAAAAGAGAAGTGAGTACATGTGAAATAGTACTCCCATGATGAGGTGAACCCAAATTTAAGAGAATATAAGTTGTACTAGCACCAACTTATTGCTATACTATTTCTCTATCAATGTTCACTTGTCTTGGCTTTAACAAAACCAGTTACCAAATACAATCTTTGTTCATATGGCGCCTTTAACCAATACCTGATAGGAAAATCTTCTTAATTTGAGGGTCATACCGTGTGGTACAAATATTTGGCACCTTTGACCAGCTCACTAAATGATTTGTTATGGTTAACAGTCTTTGATGGATAAAATATTCATCTTTTTCAAAAATTGTTACGTTCCAACAGATGTAAAGAGATGACATGTTGCACATACTGCGAATAGGCAGTGTGAACTTCATAAGTTCTCAACTCCCAAGTAAGTTTCTCTAGTATGTTTTCCTTTTATAAGAAGCTTGAATTCAGTTCAGAGAAACCTTGGTAATTTACTCAAAGTGTTGTTCTTTCCCTTCATCAACAGTGTGGTACTAAAGTTCCGGATGTGATCGTCAAACAATGTATCAGCTACAGTGATCTGTGATGTATATTACTGTCCCACAACTATTAGCAGCTTCAATTTTATCTCCATTAGCAATAGTAATCAATACACTGCTGTTTGTTTGGTGCTTTGTCCTAATTATTTTTGGTTGTAGTTCAATTTCCCAAGTCCTAACTCCTAATTTATTTTTATTCTATACTTGCTCATATTAGGATATGTTGCTGTTTCTGTACTAAGGATGTTTTCTTTACTCCAAAGTCAACTTACGGATTTGTTAAGTTTCAGGTTGAAAATAGTTTAACATCAGTACATACTTCACTGTGGTTGGGTTTTTCTTTTTCTTTTTGCTGCGAAGATAAAGATTATATGATATATTGCTTTAGATGGACAAATAGACTGGAGAGGTTTATTTTGTGCATCAAGGTTTATGCTCTTACTACAACAGGTTGTCTTTGTTGTTCTGGAAACCCCCCTTCCCTCTGTTACCGTGTCAAAAGAAAAAAAAAAACTTCCCTTTCCAAAAGAAGAAGTAGGGGAGGTAGTGTAAATTGTGTCCAATGTAGAAGATTAAAGTACAAACCAACAAACCTGCATAGAATAAGTATAGAGATAAACCGTCTTCTGATTAACCAAAAGAGACGCAGATTGAATTTCTTGTCATTTATTTACAATGGCAGGAAGAAAACTGGTATTGTACCACTAGCTTTTACTGTTCTCTACATCCTTAAAGTGTTTCTTAAGGAGTATGGGAGGTGTTTCTCTGTGGATGAGATATAACCAAAAAGTACCCTAGGAAAATAATTTGGTTGGATAGTACTTCTTTTCAGTTAACAGTATCACTTTCATTAATGACCAAAGAAGATATTTACAATAAAAACAAAGCAGCATAGGACTACTGCTACCTCTAAGTATCTATCACTAATGCTGAATACAACAAAATCAAGTTTTAGTTACATCAATACATCAAGGATAAACATTCAAAGTTAGGATTAAAGATTGCCTTCGAACTATGTTTTTCCCACGTAGATGAGTGCGCTGGACCACCTCCTTTAAATTCTAAATCAGTATTTAATATTCGATGTTGAAATCTGCAAGTGTTCCTTTCTCGGCAAATGAGTGTGATAATCATTGCAAAAGCTACTGTTGTGACTTTTGAACTATTGCAGACTTTATCCTTGCGATTGTACTCACCCAATGCAGCGATGAATTCCAATCTAGAATAGGCCTTTGGAACCCAAACCGAGTACACAACCTTGTCCATAGAAAATTCGTCTTACCACATTCAAAAAATTAGTGATCAAATGTTTCCAAGACCTGCCTACAGAAGATACAATCAGGTGGGTACTTGGTTCCAAACTTGAGTAGTCCCTCCACTGTGGACATTCTCTTTGTACAGCTAACCATAGGATGAATTTGAATTTAGGATGAACTTTAGCCTGCAATGTAAGACTCTTCCAAGTACCCTAGGCATCTGAGGCAGAAGATAGGTGTACATTTTGTGAACTGAGAACATGGACCCATGTAACACCTGTGAAAACAAAGTCCGCATTGTTCCTGCCACTGGTTGCCCTTGCATCAGCCACTCCCTGGCCACCATTATTTTTGGCACAACCAAAGTTCTTGAGTATTTGCACTGGATATGCATCTGCTGCAAAGGGGGGATTTATGTTACATATATAAGCCTGTGAGCTAAATGAAGATCAAAACATGATTTTGCTGATTATGATTTACCTTTGTATAACTGATGACATTTTCCCTCATTGTTCATCCCATTCATATGGTAATCTTGACCAGAACCAGAAAAATATAAGTTTACTTAATTGGATCAAGAGTTGGTTATGAGCTTCACTTAAGTTGGATCAAGTGTTGGTTAGTGTCTGACTTTCTGTCTTTTCTTATGAATTTGCAGAAAAATATTTGTGTAATCTGTGGTGATATAGGTTTTCAAGAAGCAATTATTACCTGCTATCAGTGTAGGAGTGCTGACGTGCATCAGTAAGTTCTCTCTCTCTCTCTCTCTCTAGTTTTAGTATGAAAGGGCAGTCTGGCGAGCTGAAGGCTATGACTCTGATCCGTACTTGCTTCATCACCGCCTATATGTTGTTTGTAAACCTCAAACATTGTCCCAATCCCAAACCACTTCTTTTATGGTTGACTTGCCACTAAGGGAGAAGTTGATCTTTTTACTTAAGGGGGTGCTCCTCTTGAAGGAAATTCTAGCTGGATTATCAGCTTTGCTTCCCTTTTTTGGAATTCGAAATAGTGGTGAAAAGCGAATAGAACTAAAAGCCTGAATGGAAGTGATATTACCTTTTAGGGAGAATAAAGACCTCTTTAAGTTGTCTGATCTTTTTGGCATTCTTCACTGCCGGATCCTAATGATATTGGATATTGGGTTCCACCTAATGATTCATTGATTCTTTCATAAGCATGTTGTGGGCATTTAATTCTCTTAAATACTGCATGCATCTTTTACAGTTTTAAAAAAAATCTGTTTTTCTTTTCCTTTCAGATATTGCTTGGTGGGCTATAGTGAAGAAGCACCACTGGATTGGTGTTGTGAAGAATGTCATATTGACAAAGGGGTAATGTCTTCATCACGTGGACTAGAAAATGATAATTCTGAGGGATCCAGATTACATGCCTTAGCAAAGATTCGCCAGAGTACGGTGCAACCAAAGAAACATAGTACATTTCCTGGCAGGCATTATATTAACTGGGAAAAGGAGGTACAGACTGGGAAAACAAAATATCTACCTGTTGAAGAAGCACTTGGTCTGTCATCAGGCATCACGAAATATGGATCTCCGCTGATAAATACTGCCTCCTCAAAAGTTGTGTCAACCAAATCCATGGCAACTGTGACTCGAGGGAATTTCAGCAAACCTAGAGCTCGAATTTTATTTCCTGAGAAGATCACAATGCAGCGGTCTTTAGGATCAGCAGGATATACAAAACCTCAGAGTCCTCAAAATGCCAAAATCACTGAACAGGGCAAAAAACAAGTGCAGTCATCTAAAGGTTAAGTGTCACCAACATCTCTTGTATTCATTACTCGGTTTTATTTGTCCTCTTCTTATACCTTCACTCTTCATAAATTTCATTTCTATCATATACTCTAATTATTTTATATACACAATGATGTTGATATATTTGGAGTTGATATTATCTTTCAAAATGATTTCTGTTGCACCATCAATATCTGTAAAGCTTTCATACAAACTTTATTTACTTTTGTACTTCCATCCAATTGATGTAGCCTATTTTTTAGGTCCGGTTGGTTCTGCCATTCTGGAGCATAGAAGTCCCTATGCTGTGAATGAGAGTCGAATGATGAATTCATCTACAACACACCCTTGTGATCCTGCTCTAGTTCCTTCCTGGAAGTAAGTACCCTTTATCAGGCACATTAATTACTAACATAGTAACTCAAGGTAAATTGAGCTCTAAAAAGGTTCAAATTCAACTCATCTCTGTTTTCTTTTCTCTTCTTCTTTGCGTTTTTAGGGGAAATTTTGACATCTTAGGTGCTCTGGAACTTGCACCTGGGATATTCAATAATTATATCCAGGCTCATCCTCCTTCCAAAGTTAGACGGAAGGTGTATGAGTTCTCGGGGCTATTGCCTGATACGCTCAAATTTGAACTAGTTCCACGTGGGGATATCTGGGCAAGTCTATTCAACCATCATTGTCCGGGTAAGGAAGACATAGGATTGTATTTCTTTGCAAGTGATACAGAAAGGTTAGAAAAGTCAATTTCTCAGCTTCTATCATATATCTATCCAAAAAGGGGTAAGGGTTGCAAATTAGAAGTGCACCCTTGCCCAGAAATGTTTTTAGTAGATAAGTAGAAATTGATTTGCATTTCTCATTATATGTAGGTCTGAAATATACATTGCTCTGGTGGAGTTCATGTGTATCAAAGATTTGATGATGAAGACGCTTATCAATGATGTTCAGTTATTTATACTTCCATCCACAACACTGTGCAGTGATTCTCAAAGTACATTCATAATCTCTATGCTCTTTTCTCATTTTCTTATTCCCTTTCAATGAACTTTTAGGTAATATGTGTATTGAATTATGCTCTGTAGAAGATCAATTTTCCAGTCTATCAGAAATTTTTGCCTTTTTATTGGTGATACTTGTTTGGTTTCATTTGAGTATAAATGCTTTAATGTGTTAAGTCATCAGGCCAAGCTTAGAAGTGCTGATTGTACATCCTCTGATTTTTTATGAGAAAGAACAGATAAATCTGTTCCTTTTGTTCAACCGAGGGCTGAAAATATGTAACTTGGATTGTTTTATCTGTATTTGTGTCCCTCGAATGCAAGTTTAAGTTCCATCACGCAGTCTAGAAAGTTAGTTTATGTACTTGCCTGAGTTCTATTGAATGCATACTTTAGCTGTGGAGGTTCATTAAAATTTTGGAAGGCTGCCTTATACCCATCTACATCCTCGTTTGCTCTTATCTGAAAACCACAAATGAGTAACCCTTCTTTACTTCAAAGGAGCTAAACGTAGGCATAGGTCAGTATTGTTAACTTTTTCCAGAAGTCTAGCTACCTATAATTTGCAACCCTGCTTCTAACAGTTTGTTTGTATGATCCATATTTGTGTAAATCAGGTTAAACTTGAGGGTTTTAATTGCTTGTTCACATATGACTGCAGCTCTTTGCAATAATGACACGAACTAATGGAGACAACTTAGTCATTAAATATTAGGTGATATGTCAACATTGTCTTTCATGAATATCATTTTCATCCAAGATATTTTACCTAAGATCATTTCTTAAGACATTTTCTGTTATTTGGTCAGACATAAAGTTGGTGGAATGTATTGGTGGTAGAAGGTGGAAATGGCATATTAATCTTGGTGTTTGCTTATGTGTAACTTATATTTGTACATATGTTGAAAAGAGCTGGTGATTTAATTAGGACCTGCCCTTCAAGATCTGATAATTTTAAGGAGACTATCTGATTATTAATTGCACAAGAAAGACGAAGCTTAGCTGAATTCTGGAGCTGCATCTCACCTTGTGGATGTTCTTGCAGGATGGAATAACAAGCACTTCTTGTGGGGATTATTTTACCGCACGGGACAAGATACAGATGGATGTGCTGAAGGGGGCAGCAACAAAATAATTGATATGGAGATAGACATGATAGGGGGGAAAGATGTCTGTACAGCCAATGAGGTTGAAATGCAGATAGACATGACAGGGCATGAAGATGCCTCTACACCGAATAAGGTTGACATGGAGGGCTATCAGGATGAGGTTGAAATGGAGATAGACATGATAGCTGGAGAAAATGTAGGTACGCTGGACATTGTTGTCTCGACAACTACCAGAAACGGTTTTGATACCTCTATAAAAGAAACTGTTACTGCTGCTACCTGCAGTGGATCTCAATCAGTTACTCCTTTGGTTTCAAGACCCTCCAAGGGTTGCAAGGAACTACCTCTACTAATCAAACGCGAGCCTTTTGATGAAGTTCCTCCAGGTTTTTTTCCCCGCTCAGCTCCAACTAAATGAGCCGCGCCACCTGGGAGTTAATGGTGGTTGCTGCCAACTTGTGATTATCACAACTTATTTCAGTCAATTGTTAGGTGTTGGGAGTTAGCTTAGCTAAGATGTCTGTTCATGACAATTAGATGGAAAACTGTTGTTAGTATTTCTTGTTGTTACTAATTTATCGGTAAGTAGGTCTATAGTGTAAATATGTTGGTTGGCTATGTTAGAGCAACTATTTTCATGACATATGTTGAAGGTGTGTTGTTTGATCTAATTAAGTAATTTTATTCAAATTTTATATCTATCTTAAGAAATTCATTAATATGTTTAAAGTATTTATATTTGGAGATAATAAACTTAATAAACGGCACGTTCCATATTAATTTATGAAATGCGCATAATTTAGGAGCAAGTACTTAGTACACTATATCAAACATATATTTAACCAATTCATTTTTATTCAATATGTTTTACTCAAATTTAAATATTCTTTCTTGACTTTCTCAAATTTAAGTAATTGTTTTTCTTCTCTCGTATCAACTATTTCTTAATTAAAGCTTTAAATAACATTTTAACTTTATATTCTGATTGATGTCATATAAAATGAAAAAGGAAGAAGTAAAACTAATTTTTTTTTTAAAAAAAATGAAAGCCTTTATTTTTTGGTATCGGGATCATACGAACTCCATTAACATTAGACATTGCAAAATGGTTTTTTCTATCTTTGCTAAGTTCAAAATTGAAACAACTAGATCTATTTAAATGCTTGAATACACAAGTTCATAATGTTATTTAAATATCTAAGTAAAAAGTATTTATATATCATATAATTTTGTTGTAATTAACTAATAATTTTAAGTTTGAGAATAACATTAAAAAGGTTGATCCATTAGGAAGGAGCACAATCTCCAATTATTTTAATATTGTGAAGACATTTTTTATTCAAAAGCTAGAAAAGGGGCACATTTCATCGAATAAGTGGAATAAAGATATTTCTTAAATACGGAGGGTTTGTTACGAGGAAAATATTTTTTAATTTCATAAATTTAATTGATTAAAATATTTGAAAATAAATTATATATAGAAAAATACTTAACTTTTAAATTAATATTATCTTGTTTACTAACTAAAAAAAAAAATAAGAAAATCATTTATTTTATAAAATAACGATTTCCAGAAAATGACTTTCCTTTATCTAATATGTTAAAGTTTATTTTAAAACCTTTTTCGTCTCTTCCATTAAGAGTTTAAATCATTTTTTTGTCTCAATTTAGAATCACCTCAAATATTAGAGTACGTTTGGATTAAGTATAAAAAATAAGCTTTTAAGTAAAAAGTAAAAATTCAAACTAAAATAATATTTAAGTAAAAAAAAGGATATCAACTTTTGATTTTTGACTTATTTTGAGTCATTTTAAAACTTATTTTAATCATTTTGACCTTGTCAAATAATTTCTAACTTATTTTCATTTCTTTTACTTATTTTAGGTTATCTTCATTTTTGCCAAACATCCCTTAAATAATTTAATCAACTTTTTAAGTCAATTCAAACGCTAAATATTTCTTATTTAATTAGGTCAAACAAAGAAAAATTCTCGAAAAGAAGAGAACTAATATCGTAACTTGTATTTTTTTCTAAAAAATAGCATCAATATTTTTTTTAATCGAAAATAAGTCTCACTTTTACTAAATAAAAAAAAGAAAAAAGAAGGGATCTCACATTAATAATTTGGATAAGAATGAATCAATATATATATATATATATATAAATGAGGATCTTCAATCCGCCTATGTGGCATGCCTCAATGTTGAGAAAAATATATATATTTTTTTTAAAAAAAAGGGTTTTTTAAATTATTATTTTTTACACAATAATATTATGTGTACATATATATTGCTATTAATAAGTAACTTAATGAGCATTACACCTCCTAACCTTTTAATAATATATATAACATCTAATTTTTAATTTAATAATATAACTCCTAACCTTTTATATTCATAACCTTCAAAATATTTAATATAAAAATTATAACTCCTAAATATTACACCTATAAAAATCCACTTTGAGACATTGCATGATGGTCATTTTATTTTTATTTTCCTTATTCTTCATTTTTTATTCCTTTGATTTGTTAATTTTTTTTGTCTTCTTTGATCTAATTTTTGCAGGAGAGGGATGTATAATGAAAAATGTTATATATTTTGCATATTTTGATTTTGTGAGGTAAAATGATTTGACATGTCGAATTATCATTATCACTTTTGTTCTATTGTAATTATACATAGATTTGATATTATTAGGTTGGATTGTTGATGATACAAATCATGATTCTTTTGTAGAAAAAATAATTTGTTTTTTTTCCTTCTGTTTGTAGTTTTTTGATATTTTTTTTTCTTATTCTTGTAGTTTCTACCGACACTGATTGTCTTTATTCACTTTGTAAATTTGAAGAATCGAATTATGTTATGTTGAGAACATGATCCTTCTTTCCTCTTCAAATCATATATAACTTAAATATTTAAATATTTTTGCTTGATTAGTTAACTGTAATTTATGTCTTTTTGTTGTTATTATTGTAAGGATTATAATTATGTTATGTTGAGAACGTGATCCTTCTTTCCCCTTCAAATCATATATAACTAAATATTTTAAATATTTTTGCTTGATTAGTTAATTATTTTAGGTATGGTTGTTGGTATTATTGTAAGGATGTTTATAGTTCTCCAGTTAAACCTCTGATGCAATAAGAGTTGATTGGTTTCTTATCAAATTAATTAGTTAATTGAAAAAAGGCCAATATATCTTATTTTTAATTTCGTCTAACAATATCTTACTCCTCACTAGCTATAAAAATGTTATACAAATATATAATAAATATAAGTAATAAAAAAAGTAATATATCACATCTCAATATAAAGTAAATAAAATAATAAATATAAATATTATATAACTAAGAATCAAATAAATCGATTCCTCTTATAATTTCGTATCTCACAATACATAACAATGATATGGTAAAAATAATAATTTTAACGTTGCATTATTTTTTATATTATTTATATATAGAAATTATTTATAGGCCAGATATTTCACAATTTTGAGAATTTAATCAACAAAAAATTAAATATTTTTTAATTTTATTTTAAAACATTTGTACGATTACTTTTTTTTTTTTGATAATTTCAAAATAATTCCTTTTGATTAACTTTTTAATTATATGTTCCTTTTTAAATTTATTTTTAATTAATTTTTCTCTTAATAGATATCTCTCCTATAATATAAAATAAGAGAAAAAATATATATTGTTCAAAATAATAGTAATTACTAAAAATAATGTATATTATTAGAAGCATATTTGGAGACTTTTAATAATTTGAAATTTCTAAAATGACGTAAAAAGAAAATATGTCATATAATAAAATAAATCATAAAAATGATGGAGGATTTTACTTAAACATATTTTTGTTTATTAAAAAAATATGTCACATTTTTTTTACCTTTTTTCTCTTATTTTTATATATTTATTTTTAATTAAATTTTTATTATAAACTCACACCTCTTTATCTTTCAAAACCTCTATACTTTCTTGATTAATACTTATTAGTAATACCTATAACTTCCAACTTTATATCTTCGTAACCCCAAATTACTTAATATTTAAATTTGTGATATCTTAAAAGCACATCAAAAAAATATTTCTAACCAAATATATTTATGTTTTGCTTAATTGTCCTCTACTTTAATCTTGTAATGCAAAATCTATCGACAAAGACTTCTTTATATAATTGTTTTTACTTCTAATGAGAATAATACAAAATAAGATATATAAAAGAAAATAAATGATTTGTTTTTTTTTGCATGAAATTATAAGAGCAAGACCATTACTAAAAGCAAGACAAAAACAATTCTTGAAAACATTAAAATGTATTTGTAGATACGCTTAGCGGTGGGAAATAATCAAAATTATTATGAAGTTATTTTTAAATTTTAAATAAAATATGAATCATGAAAAGTATAATAAAAATTAATTAAGAGAATTCATTTAAACATTTTGCTTGAATTAATAAAAAGCTCAAGACAAGCTAACTTGATTATGTTAAGATTTGATGCTAATTGTTACTGTTTTAAAAAATATATATAAATTAGTAAAAATACTAAAGACGAGCAAACTTCAGTCTTTAATTACGATGCTAATTGTTTGTGTTTTCTTAACAGAATTAAATAAGCAAAGACTAAAAAAAAGGGGAGACTAAAAAATAGAGTTGAAATAATTTTTTTTTTAAAAAACTTAATTATAGAAGAAAATTTCTCAAGGAAAAAATTAATATAATAATCATTTCAAATATACTTATTACTAACCATTCATCGTCCATTATAATGATTCTAAAAATTTACTTAACTTTTTCTCCTACACTTTAATTATAAGAAAATATTATTTATCGTTAATAATTATAAATATTCATATTATTTGTGAAAAGTTTTTTTATGTTTACTTTATTTAGAAAAAATTCAAGAGTCTAATTATAAGTTTTTAGTAGATATATAAGTTTTTTTTTTTAATCTTAACATAAAACCTTTTATCATTCATAAATAATTGTTCATTTATTACTTATTTTATTATGCATTTTAACAATAATATATTATTTTTATGTTAATTCTATGTCACTAAAAATTATTTTATCGAACTAAAATCATGTATCACCCCTTTCCTTCCAAAGAATCAATATATATAAAGAACTTTATATTTTAATATATAAATATTGAAGTACTTTTTTAAGTCTTCAAATTATAGGTAGCTTATCTATTACGAATAATTTTTCATATTTCTAGGTCTGTTTTTGAATTTGTTACTATTTTAATTCTTTTGATATTTTTAAAAAAATTTAAAAGACTAAAAATCTCACTTTAAATTTTTAACAAAACATCAAAGTTAACCATATTTAATTTCGAGGACTCATTCAAATGGATAATGAAGTCATAAATTCTTAATTATATATTATAACTAACATAAAAGAATAGGTACTATTCAACCAAAAAAAGTATAGGTATTTGACCGTACAGGTTTTTATTTTTAGATAAAATTAATTCATGAATTGAATTGAAATTATAAAGCTAAATAATAAAATTTATTAACTAATCTATTGATTTAAAAATTAAATAAAAATGAAAATTTTTAAATACCGCACATAGCACGGCTAAGTTTATTAGTTGTTGGTATAAGTTCGAACAAAATAAAATGGACGAAAATTCCTAAAAAAGAGCATTATTACATTTTCATATATTAAATAT